TCTGTATAAATCATTTTTGCTGGGATAGCCTCTTTAATATATAAAACCACCCCTCTTTTCTTACATTGAGTCAAAGAGGTAAACAATTTCCCTAATTTTGGTTGTAATAACAATTGTTCATATTGCTTTTTAATATGTACTTCTTGTAGACAAATTATATCAAACTTTAGTTTCCTTAATTTATGGAAAATCTTCCTTCTCTTAGCAGCTGAATTCAGTCCATTTATATTCATTGTAATCAGTTTTTTCTCTTCCATGGTTATATTTTATATTTAGATTTAACCACTCTCGTGGGTCTTGATTCACGCTGATCTTTAATATCCACTTGTCCACCTACTGCACCTTCTTCTTTTCCAATCTCCATTTGTTCCTCTTGGGGTTCAGTTAATGGAACCTTCTTTTCTGCCTCTCCTTCTCTCCCTCCAAAAAATTCTGCATAGAACAGTTCTGCTTTCTCAATTGAATCAATTCTATGTCTCTGTTCCTGCCACGTAAACATCAGTCCTTCTGGGATCAGCCATCTGTAAGTCACCTCCTTTTTCAATAACATTTTGGTCAGGAATCGATATTCTCTTCTCATCTCTCTCACTCTTCTAGGTATTTGTTTTAAGACCAAAATTTCTTTACCTTTGTATTTCAATATCTTCTCTCTTGCCACTTGCAAAATTTGTGTCTTGATGGATTTTTTAGTAAATCTAATATGGACTTCTCTGGGCAGATTATTTCTCATCGCATATCTTGTAAAAACTCGATATATCTCATCTATTCCATCCATCATCTTCTCTTCTGTTATCTCCAAAGCGTCCGCCAAGATTCCTACCATTATCGCAGCCAAATCTTGTCCTTTTTCTTCTTCTATATTTTGAAATCTGAGATAGAATTCTGATCTATCCAACTCCCACTTCAGCATCCCACTTTTTTCTTGTTCAATCACTGTTAATCTATTATCAATATTTCCAATCTTCTCCTCTCTTCGTTTGCCCCCTTCTTAGACTTTTTGAAGTCTCTCCTCATACTTTGCCATCATCTGTTGAATACTTTCCACTTTTTCCTCCGTCCTCCCTGTTCTTTGTTCAATGGTATCTGTTTTTATCTTAAGATCTTGAATTCCTTGCATAATCATCTGTAAAGTTACTCTTTCTTGTTCTTTTTCTTTATCTTGCTTTAACATTGTCTGAATTGAACGCTGTCCAGATGGTGGGGAGGCAGAAGTAGACACAGAGGCACCCGAAGATATAAGTTTCTTACTCATTTTAAATGATTCCAGCTGTTCAAATTCTTTCAAATTTTAATTCAAAAAGAGTAGCCAATTATAGTCCAAAATGAAAAAGCCAATAATAGAAAAAAGAAACCAATAATAAGGGAAAAAGAAGAAAAAAGAGAAAAAGGAAAAGGAAAAGGGCAAAAAAAGAAAAAAAAAGAAAAGATTCTTCAAGTTCTTCCTGACCTTAATCCAATTAAAAAGTAATCCACAAGAGAAAATAAAAATAAGAATAAAAACCCAGTAATAATAATAATAAACGAGGCCAAAGCCAAAAAGAAGAAAAAGAGAAAAAAAAAACAAAAGGAATAAATTTCTTCGAATTCCACACCTTAATCCAGCCAAAAAAGTCTCAAGTGAAAACAGAAAAAAGAAATAGTCCATTGATATACATTAAAGAGAAAAGCAAAATCCAAATAGAAAGGAGAAAAAATAAAATAAAATAAATCAAAATAAAATAAAAATAAAAAATTCAGAGGCTTCCCCTTGCAAATAAATCAAACTTAAAAATAAAAACCTTACTAGAATAAAAATATAAATTGATGCTGGTGGAGGGGATGGCGGAACTAAAAAAAAGAATTAAAAAAAGAAAGTAGGCAACAATACACTGCACTCTATTTAATTGTCCAAGGCTCTAATTATGACTCCCTTCTCTTTCTCACAAGCTTCAAAGCTAAGCCATAAATGTTTAATTATAAACAAGAATCCAGAAAGACACCTGTAATAATATTCTACCAGGCACTTTCCTCTATCTTATCAAAAGATGTCCTTGAGAAGAAGTCCTTCGTCTATTTCCAGTTCAAGTAAAATGTTTCCAAGCCTCTAGTTGGCAGTGTTACAAAGTTTCTTAGTTCTCACTTTCCCCCCTCCTCTCAGAACAGCATAATTAGAAAAAAAAAAAAAGCCCGCAAGGAATACACAAACATATAAAGGCAAAAAAGAATAAAAAATAAACAAAGGGAGCCTCTAGCCTAAAAGTAGAAAAATCCAAAGGAAGAATAACACGTATAAATATAAAAAGGAACAGTCCAGTTATCCAGTAGGTAACAATGAAGTCCGGAAGCAAAGAAAAAAAAAAGAGCAAATAAAGCCTCTCTTTGACGTCTCCCTTAAAAAAAACGCCGCTTAGTCAATTTTGTCAAAAGAAAAAAAATCACACAGATTTCTTCTAATAATCAGAGTGAACTTTCAAAACTCAAAAAATTAAATAAAAAAAAAAAAGTTTCTCACCCAACCGACAGACTCTCTTTCAGACCCGTTCTTTCTGGAGCCGCCCCGACTTCAGCAGCATGGGGGCTGCCTCTCCGCTGCCAGCAAAAAGAGCTTCTCCTGGGACTTCCAGGGATTTTGCAATATCCCCGGAATCCTCAGGATACGCTCTTCACAATAGCTGTCCCTACGGGACAGCATAGGTCCATTTGGACCGGCCGGTAACGGAGATATCGGCTGCAATCGAGGAGCTCGATTGCAAACCGTATCGTCACGGCGCAAGCTCCTCCCTTCCTCTCAAAGTCTATTGTTCTTAAAAATAATTTTCCGTGACCTCTAGATGGCAGTATTGCTTAGCTTTCCTTACACATGTATCTTAGTTACACTGTATCTCTGTGTTCTAAACAGTGAAAGTGAATAAAAGTCAAAAGAACAAAGTACTTCAGAGATTTTAAACTAAGAAACAAAAAAAGTTCAATTTCTTCTTAATTTTTAAGTTCAGTCCAGTCCAGTTGTTCAAAGCAAAGAAGCAAACAAAATATTCTTTTTTAAAAAATATATAAAAAGTCTGAATAAAGTTGACAGCTCCCTGCCGTTCGCCGCTGCCCTTAACTTTCCTGTCTTCTTTCTTTCTTTAATAAATCTTTCACTTGGTGTACTCCTCTATCTTTATTTTTAAAAATAAGAATTTCTCATCCAGACCAACACACCTTCTTTCTATTCTTCTTCCATTCTGAGGCCGGCACAGCTTCTTAGTGGCTCGAGATTAATGGTCGCTTCCCACCGCTGCCAGACTGTAGGAGCTTTCCTGGATCAACCAGGGACTGCGATGTCCCTGGGATTGACAGGATGCCCTCCTTTCACTTACCATCTCTCTAGGACCATCTAGCTGCGGGGGTATCGGTTCTTGGAGCTCTGAGAAAAGCATCTTTCTGCTGCCGCTCAAGCCCTCCCCTCCCCTGGCCTAGCATGAATCCTTACTGGAAGGATTAGAGAAAGCACTTGGATTCACTCTGCCAAGCAGCTCAGGGCACCCAATCCTTTCTGTAATCCACTGCAATTTCAGGTAGTTAAATAATCTAGTAGACCCTAAAGAAGTGAGTGGAAAATTAGTCACCCCAAACAGCAAATGGTTGACAGATAAATTTAATAAAAATATAAATAAATAAGAACTCTATTCTAACTTTTATTAATCTTTTAAATAATTTCCTAAGAAATTGTGCTTAACTCTTATTCAGAGCATACATTGAAACCAAAGTAAATCATAATTTTTCCTTGATAATTGCAAACTGTCCATTGTTATCTTTCAATAATCTATGCTAGGAATTGTTCTATCTCACCTGTAGCCACAAGGTGAGAGTCCAAAATTTCCAAAGAAAAATACTCAAACAGACAGAAACAGAAATGACAGAGTTAACTTTCCTTGGCTGAATTTGTTCTTGGCAGTTTTCCCAGAAGCTGCCTACCAAGTCCAATAACGAGCAAAGCAATAAATCAGAAGCGACCGTCACACAGAGTAATTCATCCAAACTGCTAACTCCAAAAGACAATTTGACCCGAACAGGGATTCAGAGCTAACACGCCTCCTTATATTCCCTGAGGGGCGTGTCAGTCTCTTTTTTTTTTACGTTGTATGTCACATTTCTGCCTGCGTCATAGCCTTGCATCAGACCAGCATTTCTCGGCTTGATCTTCAGCTAATGACTCCGGCACACTCTCCTGATTATCTGCCGACACCTGAGGCACAATCAGGGACGAAGTTTCTGGAGAGGAAGACGACTCCGAAACTTTCAGCAAAGCAGGCTTAAATCTTAGAGCCAAGTCCTCCTCTTCCTCCTGACTCCCATTTATGTCACTCATCAAGGCAGGCTCAAACCTTAATGCCAGATTTTCCTCATCACTCGAGCCTATGTCTTCTGACAGAGCAGGTTCAAACCTCTGAGTCACAACAAGGAATATTGCATCCTGTTTTGATTGCCACAATATAAACAAGATGTTGAGAATCTGGAAAGAGTGCAGAGAAGAAGAACAAAGATGGTTAGGGAGCTGGAGGCTGAAACATATGAAAAATGGTTGCAGGAACTAAGTATGTCTAATCTACTGAAAAGAAGGGCTGGGGTGACATGATAGCAGTCTTCTAATATTTGAGAGGCTGTCATAGAGAAGAGGAGGTTGATTTATTCCCCAAAGCACCTGAAGGCAGAATATCAGATATCACTCATAAATGTGATGCTTTGTGATGCTTTGGATTCCTTACACCCTACAAAATAATCTGATTTTTTCTGGGCTTTTAAGAAACAAGTTTTTAGGTTTTTTTGTACTGGTGACAATTTTATTGCTTCTTGCTTTTTCTTTGAGGTTTTCAGCCATTGCAGCATCCATCCCCACCAATAAGGCTTCTCTCTAGAAAGATCCGTGCATTCTGAACACCCCCTGCCTTACTCCCTAATCCAGCCTGTTCCCTCCAGTAGCAGCAGGTGGAGATCCAGAGTGGCCTCTCTCCCTTCCCAAAAACTCCTGTGTTTCTCAGGTTCAGCTCTGAAAACATTTGGCCTCTTCATGCCCAGAAAAGGACAGAAGAGCAGGAGATCCTGAAGCCGCCACAAAGCCCCTCAAGGTGCAAGATTCACAAGGATTCCATCAGGTTTGTATATGACAAATCCACCAAAGGCCAAGAATGTGGCCTTAATAAGGAATACCTTTGTGCCTCTCCAGCAGGCCCTCTGGAGAAAGGGCTGGGCAAAGTGGAAAGGCAAAAGGAGGAGGTGTGGACATGTGTCAAGAGTCTCAGAAAGCGCCAAGATCAGGATCATGGGCCACAATAGTGAGGGCTGGGGACAAGGCTGCTGTTCTGACCTAGGCTTCCCCAATAGCACGAAGCTGACTCATGGTCTCCATAAACCCCATTTATTGAGTTTACAGTGAATTCCTCTCCAGCAAAGTCCCAGCCAACAGTCTGTCAAGATACTTCCCAATTACAGACCTTTATTAGGTTTGGAGAGTTGCCAGGATGATATCTTTCAGATACCACCTGTAGCAAGAATGCAGGAACAGATCACCCAAATGAACTCTTTCCTGCAAAACCCCACTCACCTTTCACTCCTCTTTTATTCCCCATGGGAGGGGCCATTCACTGTCCACCTGTGGCTTTACTCCCAAATCAACCCTTAGCTGTTCCCTTCTTCTGGCAACTCTGTGCATGCACACACTGGGAACAGGCTCCAGCTGTTCTTCTGCCTCACTAATGTCTGACTCTGAAGGCAGCTGATAACTGTCAGACAGCCCTGGCCCCATCTCTGCCTCTGATGCAGAGCACTTGTCAGAGCCTTCCCCAGATTCCAGGACTGCCCATGTTCCTCCCCTACCTCCTCAATGTCTGAATCTGCTGCCAGCTCTGTTGGCTGCTGGTGGGCCACAACAGCTACTTTAAATGTTGCCCTCATGTTGCCATCAGGGGCCAACCTAATCTATTTTTTCATAAGCTAATTCATTAATTTCATATTTGGCCACAATACTATGGAGGCAAAACCTGGCTATGGCTGAGGATGAGTGTCCTCACAAAATTTTTCTCACCTCAAGAATTTTTCTGTGCAAAAGAGATTCTCCTGCCCATGTTGATAGAAACAGCTGAACAGCCGCTGAGGAAGAAGCTGCCTGTCTCAGGCAGGTGCTGTTGCTGGGGAGCCTATGGCCAGAGAGCTTGCAACAGGCAGACCCTGCAGGGAGCTGGGAGGCAACTCTGCCCAACCCAGCGCCTTCAGCTCGTGATCCCAGGGGCTTTCTGACACTCCGGTGGTCTCAGGCTCTTTCTCATGTGGGGAGTGTAAGGCACAGCATAGTTCTGCACAAAGAGATACACTCATGTGCAGTGGGATACAATGTGGCCTTTCTTGCTAGAGTTATCTTTCTCTTTGTTTTAGTCCAAAGATAAACATTAAAAACAAGCCAACATTATACATAGGCAGTTGTTGGAAATGAATTGAAGCAGTATTTTTTCACACATGGATTCTGAATTTGTGCTGAAATTCTATTGAGAACCTTCTATGGGAAAGGACCTTTTTGGCAGGAAATATACTCCAAACACACATGGTCTTTTTCAACTATGCCATGCAGTTGCTTTTTAATGAAGTTTCTTTTTAAAGAAGCAACGGATGGAAACTAATCAAGGAGCAAATAAACCTAGAACTAAGGAGAAATTTCCTAACAGTGGATCAGTTTCCTTTCAGAAATTATGGGTGCTCCATCCCTGGAGGTTTTAAAGAAGAGTCTGGACAACCATTTGTCTAAAATGGTAGAGGGTCTCCTGCTTGAGCAGGAGACCTCCAAGTTCCCTTCTAACCCCGTTATTCTGTTAATTCTCAAAGCAGTTGCATGATTTGGATGACACTCTTTGGATCCCATCAATAGTACTGGGGAAAATTGATTATTATTCTTTGCTTTAGTTAGTTTAGTTTTAAGTTAGCTTATTATAGCTATGATTCTTTGACGGTAAAGACCTCAGAGTTGTAGGACTGGGGAGGTGCAGGCATTGGGGAGCAGCCCCAGGCAAATGTTCTTAACATGTTCTAGGGCACAATTTGGGCACAAGTGGGTATGTGGTTGAAGCGAATTTCTACCAATTCATAGCCATTCAATTCCCCACACACCACTTCCTGCACTGCCTACAACTTTAACACCGATGGCAAATACCATCATGAACAAAACCAAGGCAAAAGTGCCAAGATACAATTAATGTGGTGATGAAAATTATTCAGTTGTATCCAGTTGCTGCATTTGATTTTGTGAAATGGCATCTGCTGATCGAAAAAGCAGCCTCTGCCCCTGTGGGAAAACATTGGGATGAGGAAGTGTGCCAGCTATGGAATTCACTGCTGCCACACTGTTGAAGAAAGTGGGAGGGGGTGATATTGAGTAGCTCTTAGTAGACAAAATATATTATTTTGATAGTTCAAGGTTACAGAGTGTGGTGCAAAAAGAATTAAAACTTACTTTGGGATTGGTGCACGTGATCTGGTGATGAAGAAAAAGGGGATGGGTTGTAGCTTGGGACTTTGTGGGGAAGCCGGGAAGATTTAGTTCAGTATGTGCCCTGGTACTGTTCCAATACAAGTACTTTGAGGTGGTGTGTGTCTTGGAGTTACTGACAGGACTGGATTTTCCCTGGAATGCTGACAATAATCCAGAACTGTAACAACTTTCAGCTCTCCCAAGAGGGAGCTATCAGGGGTGCTGAACCCCAGGATTTGTTCCAACAAGAGATCAATCCAAAGAATCAGCCAACATAGGAGGTGAGACAGATAGGCATTGTGGGCGGCACTGGAAGATTAATTCAATCCCCCAGCCCCTCTTTGGAGGAGGTAAGGTATGCAGAAGAGAGGCAAGATTTAGAAGCCTGGCCCGAAGAAAGAGATTCCTGGAGAAGTTGTCAGACGGGACAAAAAAGCTACCTGGAGAATTCATTCCATCAAGTCTTTTACATACTGCAAAGTATGCAAAGGAAGCATATTGGAGGTGTGGACCTCCAATTATATCGGAAGGCCAACAGGATCGAATTTCAAGGGAGAGACAAGAGATGCAGACTACAACAGGTATGTTGCAATCTTCAAGTCCTTCTCCCCCACACCCGGAAGGAAATTTACCCCCTGCAGAAAGTATCCATCCAGGGTGGGGATTTTATCCTGGTCAAGGGTGGATCCAGTACCAATGGATGCCAGCGCCAGCAATGCCCTGGCCCCACAGAGAATTAGTGATCCCTTCCCAACAAAGGAATCTGTACAGGCAGCAGGAAACAGCCAACCCCCTTTCCTCATGCAGGGAATGAGGCAACAATCGGCCTCTTCATGGCTAGTCCCTGATCAGCCCCCACTCAGAGCAACCCTGCAGAGGCCCTTCTTCCAGAGAATACCAACCCCCATACCAGACCAGATGCAGTTTAAGGCCAATTTTGACGGACGCCATTAACATTTATCTTATTTTCTCACTCAAATCTGGTCTCACATAGACCAATTTGGAGACCAACATGCAACCAAATGTGATCTAGTTACTGCAATAACAGATGGGATGAATGAGGGGGATGCTTCTGACTGGGTGGCGCAATTGCACTACGAATAGGCCCCAGAACTACAGGATGTCAATGCATTTCTTCAATTGCTGAGACTCAGATTTGTGAATCAAGACAGAGTGGTTGAAAATGAGGACAAATTAATGGAAATGAAACAGGGCAAGCAACCCTTATCAGATTTTATATGGGACTTTAGAAGGGTTGCAAGCCACCTCATAGATTGGCCTGAAAAATTAATCTTGCACTATTTTAAAAATGCCATTGACCTAAAAGTAAAGAAGCCCTGTGACATCAGGGGAATACCAGAGACCCTGAAAACGTGGTATGCGGCCACCCTCAAATTCGACCATGACATCAACCTGAAGGCCCTCCTAGGAGAGCTGTGGCCAGGCAACAGCTGACCAGACCTGCTAAACTGCTCCCACCCAAACCACCAGAATGATAAAGTATTATTGTTGTGGCCAGGGTGGCCATAGAGTAGCTGACTGTCTGGCCCCTGCATATGTTCCACAAGCTCCACAACTGAGGTCTGATACAGCTGCCAGGGGCTGGAAAAGTCAAGGAAAGCCCCCCGACACTAGCCTCTTTGCTAGACATGCCATAGAAGGTCCTCTCCATGCAGAAGGGAGCAACAAACTTCCAGACCAACACAGCCTTCCTGGACAACCCACTGATGAAGACGATCCTATGGTGAGTGCACCCATCACACCTTTTACCATCAAAGTGAAGTTAGTGGTGACTGACATGGGGGAGGCAGGGGAATTAGAAACTGTCATAGATACCGGATGCTCTAGATGCCTTATTGGGCTCCCCATAATTGAACAATTGGGCATAAAAACTAAACCACTAAAATGCCCAATCAGATTTTAAGTGGATGGGACATTAATTGAGGGGACCCCAGCCACCCAAATGACAGAGTTAATCAAACTGGAGATGGGTCCTCACCACGAACTCATACGTTTTATAGTAGCTCCAAGAATGTCAGAATCTGTCATATTGGGACTTGCTTGGCTACATAAATGGGCCCCTACCATCAAGTGGGAGGATGGATTCTGGAAAATCATTATTGGAGTGGGGCCACTGCCCCCCTTCCTCCCACTAAGAAACCACCATCCAACCTGGGTCCAGCAACCACCACCTTGGACCTTCTTCTAGGTACTCCCCAAGTGCCCAAACAATATAGAGACTTGGCTGAAGTATTCAATGAAGAAGAATGTAATGTTTTACCTCCCCATCAAGCCATAGATTGCGCCATATAATTAGAACCTGGGGCAAAACTGCCAAAACCAAAGATGAATTCCATGACACCAGCTGAAATGACTGAATTAAGGAAATACATCGATAGCAATTTGGACAGAGGTTTCATTGAACCTGCCAAATCTAAGTTGGCCGCTCCAGTGCTGTTCAAAAAAAAGAAAGATAGCGGGTTGAGATTATGTGTTGATTTTAGGGGCATGAATGCCATGTGTCAAAAACATGTATCCTCTCCCCCTTATGAAGGACTTATTAAACCACCTGTCAAAAGGCAAGGTTTTCACCAAACTAGATCTGAGAGAAGCTTACTACCGAGTCTGCATAAAAGAGGGAGATGAATGGAAAACAGCCTTTAACTGGCCTTTGGGTAGTTTCCAATTCCAAGTCATGCCTTTCGGAATTCATCCCCCCCCCCCCGCAGTATTTATGCAACTCATCAATGAAGTGTTACATCCGCACCTGTACCAGGGGGTCCTGGTCTACCTAGATGACATCCTTATATTCAGAGAAACCATTGAGGAACATGTCAAATTGGTCAGACAAGTCCTGAAAAACCTTTTGGCCGCCAAGTTATATGTAAAACTGTCAAAATGTGAATTCCACAAGGAGTCACTGGATTACTTAGGCTACCAAATATCCAACCAGGGAATTGAGATGGACCCTGGAAAAGTGAAAGCCGTGCTAGAGTGGCAACCCCCCAAAACACGAAAGCAACTTCAAAGCTTTGGGGCTTTTGCCAATTTCTATAGACAATTCATTCCTTCTTTTGCCGAGGTTGCCCTCCCTTTGACAGAGTTATTAAAAACGGGCCCTTCACCCACCAAACTGAAGCCCAGTCAACCCCTTGCTTGGACAATGGATTGTCATAAAGCTTTTGAAACCTTAAAATGTCTCTTTACAGGTGAGTCCATTCTCCAGCATCCAGACCCAACCAGACCTTTTATAGTCCAAGCTAATGCTAGTGATGTGGCAGTAGTGGCTGTTCTGCTACAAAAGGACTCTCAGTACCGACTGATAGCTTGTGCTTATGTGTCCAGAAAGCTAATGGACATAGAGCAAAGATGGGCAGTCTAAGAGAAAGAAGCATTTGCAGTACGATGGGCTTTGTTGACTTGGAGGCATATCCTAGAAGGGGTGAAGGAACTGTTTGAGGTGTGGACTGATCACAAGAACCTCGAGGCTCTAAAGACACCTTGGAAGCTATCACCTAAACAAGTCTGCTGGGCTCAATACTTCAAGCAGTTCAACTTCAACATGAAAACATATTGGTGGACACCCAGTCCAGGAAACCCCAGTTTGACAGTCACCAAGAGGAAATAGTGCAGGTTTTGATATCAGAAGCTCAATCAGCAGGCCAAGTAACCACTCAAGGCCAAGCCAACTGCAACCCCAGGCACCTGGAAGACAAATTGATCGCGGAATTGAAAGCAGTCCTATTGACTGATCCCTGGTTTGCGGAGCATCAAACTGAATTAACAATGAATGAGGGACTGGCTTGGAAAGGGACTAAACCTTATATACCCGCAAACCTAAGACTAATGCCACTAAAGCGTAGCCATGACTCGCGGCCGGGGGAACATTTCGGGTTCTTAAAAACCCTACATTTAGAAGACAGTTCTGATAACCAAAAATAAAACCCGACATCAAGGAATATGTAAAAGGCTGCTCAATTTGTGCCACGATGAAACACAGAACTGGAAACCCCCCTGGCCTCCTCCAACAAGTAGCTGAACCAACACAGCGTGGGAAGAAAATGCAATGGATTTTATCGTAGAATTACCTGAGAGGAGGGAATACAATCATTTGGACTGTTATTGACTTATTCAGGCCCACTTTACAACCTGTAAAGGACTTCCATCTGCAAAAAAGCTTGCAAAACTGTTTGTGAAGCATATCTATAGGTTACACGGAGTACCTCGTAGAATAATATCAGACAGAGGGGTACAATTTATCGCTAAGTTCTGGAAGGAGTTTTTAAAGTCTATTGGGTTGTCCCTCAGCATTCCATATGGCCTGCAGCAGAGCAGCGGAAAGGGCTAATGCCATGGTGGAACAATTTATTAGATGCTATGTAAATTATCAACAGGAAAACTGGACTGAATTATTACCATTTGCAGAGGTTGCATAGCAGCACAGGGTTGACTCCATTCTAAATCAACACTGGCATGGAAGTTGTCCCTATGCCAGAATTACCAAGAGAACCTCCTACATCCATGTCTGTAACAGAATGGATGAACTCATTGAAAAAAGGTTGGGAGGATAAAAAAAAGCTTTGAAGCTGCAAAGGATTACAAAAAGCAGGAGGACAAACATAGGATCACCCAACCACTGTTTAAAGTAGGAGACAAAGTATATTTGTCAAACAAATATCTTACATTGAAACTTCCTAGTAAGAAGTTGGCGCTTAAATTCTTAGGTCCATTCCCGATTTCAAAAATAATCAATCTGGTCATGGTCCAGTTAAGTCTTCCCCGGCTATTGAGAAAAATTAACCCAGTGTTCCAAAGTAGTTTATTAAATCCAGCTGTTATATCAATGATAAGACCAATAACAATCACTCCTTCTAAACCTTTAATTGTACAGGGTGAGACACATTATGAAATCAAGAAAATCCTCAATTCTAGATTACACCGAGGACGGTTGCAAAATTTGGTCTTATGGAAGGGTTACCCTATTTCAGATGGTACTTGGGTAAAAAGTTGGGATGTACATGCAGATAGATTGGTTAACCAATTCCATGAGGAATTCCCCCACAAACCAAAGGGTCCTCTTGGAGGGGGGAGAGGGGGTTAAGGACAAAGCATTAACCCTTGGTGGTGTTTTGGTTCTTATTTTCTTATAGGTGAACGATATTTCAAGGGGGGGTGCCTGTCAGCTATGGAATTCATCGCTGCCACATAGTTGAAGAAAGTGGGAGGGGGTGATGTTAATTGAGTAGCTCTTAGTAGACAAAATATATTATTTTGATAGTTCCAAGGTTACAGAGTGTGGTGCAAAAAGAATTAAAACTTACTTTGGGATTGGTGCATGTGCTCTGGTGATGAAGGAAAAGGGGATGGGTTGTAGCTTGGGACTTTTCTGGGGACACCGGGAAGATTTAGTTCCGGATTTCCCCAGTATGTGCCAGGTACTGTTTTAATAAAAGTACTTTGAGATGGCATGTGTCTTGGAGTTACTGACAGGACTGGATTTTCCCTGAAATGCTGACTAAGTGTTTGTCTTTAGTTTATTGCATTTTTAAAGAGTTTATTGCTTTTAGAAATTGTGGAGCAGTTTTATAAATGCAGTGAATAAATTAAACTGAACATTACCTATGAACCTATGGGCTGAAAAATACTTCCTGTCAAAAATTTCTATCTGTAGAAGGTTCCCAATGAGATGGAAAAATTGTACACTTGAATAACAATGCAAAAAACCCCACAAAACTAAGGAGAGGGGATTGCTGGTAAAGAACTTATTCTTTGATGTTATATGAGCCCCCACCCCTTAGAGTTGAACATGAGTGGATGGGAAATCTTTACCTTTATGCTGGCATTTAAAATTTTCAACTGGAGCAAATATTTTAATGTATATTTATTATATACTAATGTAATATCCAATTATATACTAACATATTTATACAATTAATCAATTTCAATAGCTAAGGCAAATATATAGATACCATCCTTGGCATTACAGAAGCTTAATGCTTCTTCTATACTCCCAACTGTCTTGAGTAATATAATTTACACTTCTCTTCCATTAAATTACCTCTAGAAAAACAGCTGTTGAAGAAAATACCAGCTGTGCAAGTGGAGAAGAGATTTCTGTTAAAGAATTGGATGATGTACAAATTATGCCTGAAATACAGGTAATGGCATAGGCCAATTTTCTTTGATCAACAAAATTGTGGCTTGTTGAAATTCTGCTTCCTCTTCTATTCAGAGTAGGTAGATGGCCACTGGAAGATGTGACCAGTGGTAGCATTTCATAGGCCAGAGTCCTGTCAGTGGAGACTATAAGACATGGCAAGGGCCAGTCAATTTTCTAGAGGCCTGCCAGAACTGGTTTCACTCAGCTCCTCTATTCTGCCATGTTCACCTGTTTATTGGCATAGCTTAGCCCTTGCCTGCCTCTCCATCCTCTGATCTCTTGCCTTCCAATGAAGGCATTGGAGGGGGGAGTCCTCAGTGTTTATTGGGGAGGAGGAGAAGTCTATTAGGGCTCGGTTTGGAAACTACTTCTGAAAGTCCTACTTTTGGCCTTGGGAAGTCTGGTTCTCTTCATTTAGGACTTGTCCTAATTGCATCTCCAGTTGTGATTACTGTGAGGCCCTTTATGGGTACTTGACCTGAAGCTGCAGCTACTGCAGAAGATGCCAACCATATGTGGTTTCGGGTAAACCTTCTGCACTGGCCACCCAGGAGCCCCTAAGCCAAGTTTAGACTTCATTTTTTGGCAAAAAAAGAAAAAGATCATAAACAAAGGGATCAGAACTGATGACAGGTCATCTTCATTGAAGCAGACCTAGGAAATTGCTCAGTTCATCAGAGATGAGATTACCCTGCTGTTTGGGCTGTAACGTCCACAATTCTTATCATGTTTATTTGCAAATGAGCCTTGTTCCTTTCCACTGGAATACTGACCAACGCATAGGAGCCTTTAAAAAACCAAAATATTGTTTCGAGTGAAATTCTGTGATGACAGGAACCAGATATTCCTGGTCAACTGTTCCATGGATGTTAGCTAACTTCAGTTTAAGCCCTCTATTTTCTTTGGATGTAGTGGAATAATCCAGATATTTAATAGTCTTTACATCCTGTCCCATTTTTGCATCATCTGTGTCTTGTCAGGGATGAACTGTGGATAAATTGGTTTTAAAATAGTTTTTGAAAGCCTCCAAGCTGAGAGATTTTGTGAGCTAAACACATACTGTACGCAAGGGAGTTTGTCTTTTCTGTTCCTGTTTCTTTTTCTGATGAACACGTGCTCTGTTTTCTAGTTATTTTTGCAAACTTCTGAAGTAGACCAGGAGGCTCCAGAGAATAACCAGGCAGGAACCAAAGACGTCCTGTGGTGTGCAGAGTCAGAGGAGCCACACTTGACAGGCGTGGAAGAAGTAAGCCCACTTTGCTGCTGAGGGTTGGGGACCCAGGACAGAGGTGGCTCTTCCTCAAGGGTTTTTCTCAGGCAGGGTCTGTTCTTCTCCTTGGGCTTGGGTCAGGGAGCTTTCCAGACCTTTCCCAGCTGGCTAGAAGCTCTTGTTTCTTCCTTGGCTTTTTGCACACGATCTGAATAAGCCCAGAGACAAGGTAGGGTTTGTAACCCTTGTATTAAAAATGTAGAGGTTTATTAGGAGTTGTTGAGCTTTCCCCAAAAGAATCAAAATATGGAGAAAGGCCTTGAGTCCAACCCCCTGTTTTGTGCTGGAATCCAGAGTGTTCTTATTCAGTGTTATTTCTGATTTTCCTGTCAGTATTTATTATGGTCTTTTTCTGATTTATTTATTTCTACAATGTGTATGTTTTTCTCTTATTTCCTTACTTCAGGGTTTTCATCTTTGGCCACTACAGGATACCTTTCAAAGCCCTTCAGCCAAATACATTGCTGCAAGTTGTTGTAAGGGCTGAAGCACTCCAGAAAACTTAGGCTATAGTCTGAGAAACAAAATCCACCTCATTTTTTAAGCCACTCATTCATTTGCAGCAATCCTTCCTTTCTAGTCTTCTCCCATTCCATGAGAAGAACACCCTCGAAGTCAATGGAGATACCAAAGAGAAGCAAAGTTCACGGTCTTTGGGACCATCTTTCATGGCAACTGTTGCTTGCACAGATTTAGCATTACTTTTACAGTAGCACAATTGCCTCGAGGACTGGGAAAATTGCATTACTCGTAGAGTATTTGTAGCTTGAAGTTGAACTGTAGTCTTTGGTGTTCCTTGGGTTTCAAAAGTCTGAAGGAAAACCATTAAGCACAGAGAGCACCAAGAACCCCATAAACTTCATTATTCTTTCCATGGCCCATTGATCTGTCTTCCTCTGTTAGTACCATCTCTCAGAAGGAAAAAATGTTTGCCTTTGTTTTGTTCACTGCCTGTTTGTTCAAACAGGAAACTCAAAACTGGAGGGAAGGGAAGACCTTAACAAGTATCCAGCAGTGCCCACTTATGGGCAGCAGAGCTAGCAATCCTGGGGCACCTTTGCAATCCTGGAGCAGTGACTCTTTCTTTCTTGCTTAATCAGGTTTTTGACATCTTGCCACTATATGGAACATTGCAGCCAAATGAGACCCAGCAAATGTCATTTACTTTCTACGGCCATGCCAACATTGTTGCTTGTGTCAAAGCACTCTGTGAAATAGAGGGAGGCCCCACCTATGAAATTCTGCTGCGGGGTGAAGCCTCATTTGTTCGCTATGTGTTTGACCAAAAGGAAATTGATTATGGACTGCAGGTAGGTCTAATGTGCTATTTGTTTATTGAATACACACGTGCACGCACACACACATGAAACGCTGTTGAGCTCTCAATCCTCTTTTAGGCCTCCGCTTTTTCATCATACTTCCTTTTATTCTCTAGAACAGCAGCTCCCAACCTTTTGAGCACCAGAGACCAATTCCATGGAGAGAGTTTTTTCCACGGACCCGAGGGGGCCTGGTTTCACATGCTGCCTGCATCCAGTGGATGGGGCTTTGCTTGTTTGCTGGCATGCTGCAGATTGGGACCAGGGGTTGGGGACTCCTGCTCTATAAGTCATCCTTCAGGCACAGTCTTTACATAAATACATGTCCTCAAATGAAGTCCTGTGTTTTGCAGGGGTCTCAGCATTTTATGAAGATTTCTGAAGGATTGGGCCTGTAACGTCATAGAAAACTTTCCAGGCTGGAATGATCTGGCATTGGTCCTCATGCGCTTAGAAATGTTTCTTTTTTAAAAACAAAACAAAACAAAACAAGTTTTATTTCAGTTTTCCACATTTTAAAAACAGCTCTTTGTAGTGAACAGCATGATTACAGGTTTCCACATTTACATACAAATATGACCATAGTTACATATTCAGTTTTTATATTCAACGTATCTTAACAATGCTTTTATACATTTTCTATTTTATTGCATTATTCCAGATGCTTGCCTCTTATTTAAGTCATAATTATCTTCATAATTATTATGCTTTAGTACTTTTAACTGTCACATTTGCATATTTCATCATAAGTTCTAATTTGATAGTCATTTTAAGAATTAGTTTCCCCCCTAAATTATCAATTTGAGTGTGCCATCTCTAAGTATTACATATTCATTAATTATCTTCCCTGTTAAATTCCATTAATCACTTAATTTTTATTACCTAAAAAAATGAAATTAATAATCCCATTAAAACCAGATGGCATATATAAATCAAACTCTGCATGGTTTTTCCCCTTCTTAATTTCAGAAGACTTATTTACAATTTGAAAAAACAGAACATATTAATCTATTCATTTAATCCTGAACCCTGATGTTAATTCCATTTCAGTTCTCCCCCATATTATTTCAGTTATTTCAATAGATTTTATACACATATTCCATTAATTATTCCATTCATCTTTATACATTTAAACAAACGAGCCTGCATTCCAATAATAGAAAATATCTACTCCATTACAACCCTCCTCATATTTCATTTCAATTATTTCAATATATTTAGTAAATGTATTCCATTAATTATTCCAATTTATCTCTATACATGTAAAAAAGAGCTTACATTCCAATATCAAAAACTATCATTTCTGTTTTCCATCTTAATCATCTATATATCCCTATTTCCTACAATATTCATAACTTTAAGTATATTTATGCTAATCCCCATCACCTTGCAGAATCCCCTTTTTGAATATTAATCAGCCATTGTCTCTGTGTCTTCTAAATAAGCAGTTTCTTTTCATTTTTTACAATTCCCATATTTCTATGTTTCCAGATCCTGTTTCTTATCCCTTCTTTTCCCTTTCATTATCCACTTTCTTCTTCCACTCCAGTTTTTATCCCTCTCCCTATTTATAGCTTCTTTCTACTCTTCAAATTTCTGCTGTTTCTTTTTACCTTTTTTAATTTTTCGGATAGTCCCCTCTATATTTAACTTCTTACATCTCATATTTTTATTTCCCACTCTTTTCCTCCTTCTTTTCAGAATTCTTTGTTCCCGGTGATAGTTAAAAATGGCCTCTTCTGTAGTCAGCTCCCCCTCCTCTTCTGTCTTTTGTCTTTGTTGTTCATATTCTGAAATTGTGTTTTCCATAAATTTTAAAGCAAAGCCCAACAATTCACCTTGCTCTTGTAATGTTTCTTTCATGTTTTTAAGTTCCATTTTTAATTCCAGAAGAGATATCGCCATTTTATGCATTTCTGTTTAATAATTTAATACAAGTAATGTCCATGAGATTAGTTTCCAACTATCAGCTTTTGTTTTATTCCTCTCAAATTTTTGGTTCACAACTAATCCAATACCAAATCCATGTCAAAATCAACAATTAATCCCAGGGCAGAATTTTCATTCTTCTTTCTTTGTTTCAGTGATTTAATTTTCCAAAGTTCTTGTTTTATTGTATCAGTATTCTTTACAGTTTTTAAGAAACAGAGTCTTTTAGAAAAAAAAAACAAATTAGATTTAACCATTAGATGGCACTCTTTATTATAACAAATCTTCACCCCTTTTTTTATTCAGCTATTCAGGGCTTTTTAAACCACAATCTTCCAAGAAAAAAGTCAAATCCAATTGGTATTAAGTTTTCCCTTTAACTGTCTCAAATTCATCTTTATTAGTGCCTATGTAAAATCAAAATATAAATATGTTAGCAAACTAAATGAAATGCTGTTATGTTTCTCCAGAGGTGAAAATTGAAACAGTTTGAATAGTGGATGACCTGATGCTAGCTAAAAGTTTGGCCACATTTCTTGGAATGATGCTGCTTGAACCTCATTGCAGAATAACATTTTCATCATTTTCCCTCTCAATCCATTGGTTAACTCACTTATGCATCTAGGCCCACTGAACGTTTCTAACATTGAAACATTGTGTATGTGTAGTAGAAGAAATCCCTCCCAGCTTGCCTGGTGAAGAGTTGTGAGGGAATCAGGAAGGGGGCTTCAGCCAAAAGCAGGGGTTGTTTCAATTAGCATTGTCCTCTTCTCTCTTAAGCCCTTGGACCACATCTGTATGGCTGAGATTATTCTGAGAAACAAAGGAAAAGTTGGATTTGAATACTCTGTGCTTGATGCCATCCAGGCCTCATCTGACAACCCTCCCCCCGGTGTGCCATTGATTCTACCCGCCACTGTAAGTAATATTGAAGGAGGCTAACCTAGGGGACCGTGTGTGTGTGTGTGTGTGTGTGTTTCTAAATTAATTAATTAATTGATTGATTTGATTTGTCAGCTGCTTACAAGATAATAGGTAAAAGTATAAACATGAGTAAGAATACAGGAAATAGGTACGAATAAATGGGGACAATAGGACAAGGGACAATAAGCACGATGGTGCACGTATGCACGCCCCTTATAGACCTCTTAGGAATGGGGTGAGGTCAGTAGTGGATAGTTTGAGGTTAAAGGAGTGGGGGTTAGAGGATGTAACAACAGAGTCAGGTAGTGCATTCCAGGCGTTCACCACTCTGTTGCTGAAGTCGTACTTTCTGCAATCGAGTTTGAAGTGGTTTACATTGAGTTTGTATCTGTTGTGTGCTCTTGTATTGTTGCAGTTGAAGCTGAAGTAGTCATTGACTGGTAGGACATTGTAGTAGATAATTTTGTGTGCTACGCTTAAGTCTAACCATAGGCGACATAGTTCAAGGTTGTCCAAGCCCAAAATCTCAATCCTGATGATATAGGGTATTCTGTTGCGAGCAGAGGAGTGTGGTACTCTTCTAGTGAAATACTTCTGGATTCGCTCAATTGTATTAATGTCTGATATACAGTGCGGATTCCAGACTGAAGAGCTGTATTCGAGTATTGGTCTGGCAAAGGTTTTGTATGCTCTAGTTAGCAATTCGATATTTCCAGAGGAGAAGCTTTGTAAGATTAGATTTACAACTGTTAATGCCTTTTTGGCAATGCTGTTACAGTGAGCTCTGGCACTTAGGTCATTTGATATGAGAACTCCAAGGTCCTTGACAGAGTGAGGATCATCAACAAGGTCATATCAGCCTAGTTTGTATTTGGTGTACTGATTTTTTTTTACCAACGTGTAGGACAGAGCATTTGTTGGTTGAGATTTAGAGTTGCCAATTGTTTGACTATTCAGCCACACAATCAAGGTCTCTTTGAAGGACAGTAGCATTGGTGGTGGTGTTGAATAGTTTTACGTCATCCGCAAAGAGGACGCGATTGCTTACAAGGTGATTGCAAAGGTCATTTATATAGAGTATAAAGAGTGTGGGTCCTAGAACGCTGCCTCGGGGGACACCGCTGTTAACTGGAGCAGGGTTTAATATAGTGCTCCCTATTTTTACTATTTGTTGCCTGTTTGACAGGAATGCAGTAATCCCTTTATGAAGGGATCCGGAAATGCTGTAAGAGTTTAGTTTTAACAGTAGTTTTTCATGTACCACTGAATCAAAGGCTTTGCAGAAGTCTATGTAGATTGTGTAGATAGCTTTACCCTGGTCAAGTAGAGTAGTCCATATATTTTTGCAGTGTATGAGTTGAAGATTGCAGGACAATTTTTTTGAAATCAAATTGTTTTTTGGAGAGTAGGGTGTTTGACTCTAAGTGGAGGATGATGAATTGGTTAATGATTGATTCCATGACTTTGCACGTGATACAACACAGTGAGATTGGTCTGTAGTTTTCAACCACGGCGGGGTCACCTTTTTTAAGGACCATAGGTTTGGTAAGGAGTTGGTTCTGAATGATATATATAATGCTTAGGGGTTCCGCTGTGGCAGAGGAGAGCTTTTTAAGGAGTATGCACATAATCCATCAGGGCCAATAGATAGGGATGGTTTTAGGTTATGTAGTGCCTTTTTTACGTTATTGCTGATCTATGCAAAATATAGAAAGCAAGCAGATTCTTGCATCAGAATCCAGAGGCCCTGTGCAGTATTCAGACAGCCATCAGCCTCACCACAGTTTCTTGTGAACTCACTTCCTTGGCTTCATACCCACTGACTCCCGGCTTCTAAGTGGGTCAGAGTGGTCAGCATGTCATGAGAGCTGCAGAAAGTAGGCAGGAGGACCATAATAGAGAGATGCTAGATATGTTCCAGGGGCAATGAGGAATGAAACATATTTTAAGTTCAAAAGAACACATAACATTCAGCAGCTCAGACACTTCCTTAATTCACAGAAGTATAATAAAGGGGAAGATGTACAGCATAATCAGTTTTTGTTGATATAGTTGATGTCGAATCCAACAGAATGGAGCTAGAAGGTCTGCCTGTGGCTGCACCCCAATGCCTACACCTCCCCAGTCCTACAACTCTTTACTGTTTTTACTATCAAAGAATCATAGCTATAATAAGCTAACTGTCAACACTGAACTGAACCTGCTAGAGGCCCTTTTCCTGGTTCATCATTGCCAGACTGTATATGGGAGGGGGGAGGTTGGAATTTGAAATTTCTTGTGAGAACCAAGATTATCTCCAAGTTGATGGATGAAGATGGAAAAGAGCTCCTGAGGAGCCCTGCAAATTTATCTAATTGGCCAACGTGACCAGTGACATTGGGGGGGAAGGGTTGATTACTGATTTTAACTATGATGAAACCATGGGAAAGAGTTGGTTTTCAATCAAGTGTGTCAATAAAGGAGTTCTTTGAGGAAGTGCCTGGCCTCAGTCCTGATTTGCTTGGGTTCATTAGTAAGAACCTTGACACTAACTTCAAAATAAAGAATGACTTAAAGAAAGCAATAATAGTTTTCCCCAGCATTATTGATAGAATCCAAAGAGTGCCATCCAATGATGCAATTTCTTTGAGAATTAATAGAATGACAAAGTTGGAAGGGACCTTGGAGGTTTTCTAGTCAAACCCCTGCTCAAGCAGGAGACCTTCTACCATTTCAGGCAGGTTGCTGTCCAGTCTTTTCTTAAAAACCTCTAGTGGTGAAGCACCTACAACTTCTGTTCCACTGCTTAATTGTCTTCAGTGTTAGGAAGTTTCTCCTTCTTTGCTTCTCTTCTTGATTGGTTTCCATCCATTGTTTCGTTTCTTGTCTTCTGGTCTTTTGGAAAATAAGTTGCTTTGTGGCAACCCCTGAGATACTGGAAGACTATCATGTCACCCTTAGTCAAGTGGTCCCATAGGAAGTGGGGCTGCTATACTGGGCTACATACTGGTCCAGGACGACAGAGAATCCCTGCCTCTGAAAGTCATGTTCAACAGGTGGCTGGAGAAGCTAGTCATTTTCCTGAACCAGGTGTGGAACTACTTGGAGCGAAATGGAGCAATGTACCCAGACGAAGTTGCCTATATGATGCAATTATTTTGAATCTAGAGGAGAGGCAGCAGACTGGGTGGCATTTCTCTATGATGAAGGGCCCCTAGATCTGGGGAATGTGGATGCCTTCTTGGATGAGCTTCTAGCTAGATTTGGAGACCCTGCACAAGCCCTCCAAGCAGAATCTGGGATCTGCATCATAAGGCAAGAGAATAGACCAAGTAACCAAAGGCAACTACAGAATTTCTTGGGCTTTCCCAACTTCTATCACCAACGTCATTCCCTCATTCTCACAGATAGCCCTGCCCATCACTGAATTACTAAAAATGGGTGGAGGAGGGGTGAAACCCAAGCTGAGCCAGCCGCTTAACTGGACTGTGGAATGCCAAGGAGCATTCAAAAAGCTCAAACAGCTTTTTGCAGGGGAGGCAATTCTTAAACCCCAGAGGAACCATTTGTAATGCAAGCCAATGCTAGCAATGTGGCAGTGGGGGCCATTCTGCTCCAAAGAAGTATGAAGAGGATGCTGCAGGAAATGTGAAGAGGTTGTGCCTACACTTTCTGGAAATTGACTAACACCAAAAGGCCTTGAGCGGTGTGGGAGAAAGAGGCATATGCCATTTGATGGGTGCTCCTGACTTGGAAACAATCCCTGGAGGGCAGTAAGATCCCTTTCAAAGTTTGGACTGACCACAAGAACTTAGTAAGCCCTAAAAACCCCAAAGAAGCTGCCCCCTAAACAAGTACGATGGGCTCAGTACTTTTATTGGTTCAATTTAACCCTTTGGTATTTGCCAGGTGGGGGAAGAATTTCCTCGTGGATACGCTTTCTCAGATGCCCCAATACAAAACACCCAGGAGGAAATAGTTAACTCCATTATCCCCTCCTGGCAAATGGCAATGCAGGTCTCTGCGAAGCGATGGCTGCTAGCCACTCCTCAAATGGCTGACAGTGTGCTGACCCAACAGCTAAAGGAAGCCCAGAAAGAAGATGTATGATTCAAAGACCACAAACCCGAATTGGTGATGAGGGAGGGCCTCATGTGGAAGGAAGCCGGCAGGCCACTTCAGGTTCATAAAGACCCTTCACTTGCTAAGAGGCAGTTCTGGTGGCCCAAAATGAAGAAAGACATAGAAAACTATATAATCAGCTGCCCAGTGTGTGCATCCATGAAGTGATTGTCAGGGAAGACTCCTAGGCTGTTACAGCCATTGGCCAAGCCCAGCCAACCATGGGAAGAAATCGCCATGGACTTTATAAAGGAATTGCCTGACAGTAATGGGAGTACTGTGATTTGGATGCTGATTGACTTATTTTCAAAGCAAGCACACTTCATCGCCTGTCTGAAGGTTCCTTCAGCCCAGAGTTTGGCCAAAATGTTCATGCAGCATGTCTGTCAGCTGCATAGAGTCCCTGTGATGACCCAGGGCGTGGCACAAAAGCAACACAGTCAGATAATCAGTAGGAGTCTCTTTATTAGCTTCAACTTTGCCCCCAATGTCTTGGTTACCTTCTGGCTGGAGAAAAACTCTCCCAGGAACAGCCTTCGACTGCATAGAATCAAGTCCAAAATGTGGTCAACAAAAGCTGTAACTTTAAGTCCATTCAAGGCAAAATGAGGTAATTGGTCCGACAGGGCAGAAGTAAGAATTCCAGATGTGAAGGCACAGCATTAACTGCACATGGTTGGGAGGATGCCAGGAACACAGATAATCAAAGTCAACACGATAAACTCACCTTTGCTCCCAGCAACTGCTGCACTCATGAAGGGAATCGGGGCCCTTTCCTCCCCCCATAAGCCACGTAACCCACATTGCTCTCTTCTCTATTCCTCCCTGCGTGCCCTAGGATGAGGAGGGGTGGGCCTGGGTCTTCCTCTTAACTTCTTCTCCCTTATTCTATCTCTCCCCTGCTCTGCCCAGCTGGACTTTGCCCTTCCCCAGTTTCCTCCACAGCCAATGGAGCCACACTCCCACTCCCTGTCAGCTGTTCGTCTTCCTCCTCGGATTCAGACTCCAACAGGGGCATGACAGTCCCAAGGCACCTCATTTCAGACTGGGGGATGAAGTTTACAGCAAAGTTTTGGTGGGAGTTCATAAAGCAAATAGGATCAGCCCAGGGATTTAGTTTGAGTTCCATCCAAGTACCAATGGGGTGGCAGAATGAGCCAACACAATACTGGAGCAATAGCTACGTTGGTATGTAAACTATCAGCAAACGAACAGGGCAGAACACCTACCTTTTGCAGAAGTGGTTTATAATAAGTTGATGCATAGTAACACTGGGCTCACCCCTTTAAAGTAACCACAGGAGTTGAGTTTATGCCAATGTCAGAATTTCCAAGGGAACCCCCTCCCTCAGTAACCTTAGCTGAATGGATGGACACCCTAAAAGCTGCCTGGGGAAATATGCAAAAGGCACTGAATAAAGCCAGAGAGTCTCACACACACAAAAAAAAACCCAGGCAGATCGGAAAAGAGCCCTCCAGGAGTTCAGGATTGGGGAGAAAGTATACCTTCTACTACATATCCGAAACTGGACCAGCCTTGTAAGAAACCGGGTCCTAAGTACATCGGACCATTCCCAGTTGTTTGAATTGTAAACCCAGTTACAGTCCACCCACTTCATGTGATTTTGATTCTATGCCTCTGTTTATACAAACAAGGATTGCATTTGCTTTTGGGGCTGTTAAGTGACCATCCATTAGGAGTCCAATGTCCCTCTCACAGTTACTGTTTTGAGCCAGATTTCACCTAATTTGTATTTGTGCCTTTGGTTTTTCTGCTTAGTGTAAAATCTTGTTGACCTATGTCAATAAAAGTAGTTTTAATCATCCTGTGAGGTTGATTTCTTGATGTGGTTAGTCTTGCAGGTACTCTCTTTTAAAGATCAAAAGGAAACTCAAATTTATGCAGATTATAACTTCATAGCAGATTGAATTGATTAAACCACCCCTACCTCTCAAAAGAACATAGTTGAAAAAGAGATAAGATGTAAATTCTTTTCAATACAGTACAATCAGTATCCAAACCAAATATAATACAAACTCTTGTATGGATTGTATGGTTCTGAAATGGCAAAAATCTAAATAAGCATTTGAATTGAGAAAGCTATAAACTGCAGGTTCTTAACAATGGCAGTGGAGACACCAGAATGGCCATCATTGAGTGGTGCAGTCACATGACTTTGTACTTTGCAACCACGACACTTAGTGAAATGGCAGTTCTGGTCCTGATTTTTGCCATAAGTAGAGGATCATCTGTAATTACGGTATTCCTATAACGTATTATTTGTTATCTATAGTTTGCTTTTTTCTCTTTTATTTGAGTTTCGTTAACCAAATTTTTAAAATTCAATAGTAATATACTTTGATTAGAAAATAGGTACAAAGTGTCTTATAATATATTGTTTTAATTGTCCATTAAATAGACTAGCTATATGATGTTTCTGACGATGCTATTCAAGATATATTAATTACCTGCTGGTATAAATATTGTTTATAATATTTATTATAAACCTATAAAACATATAGTTTTTTAAACATTTAAAAATAGTAAAATTTATCTCTGCCTATCTCTGCATACCAGGAAACAGACACAGGTTTAAGTTGGGTAGCTACAACTTTTTAAACAGAAAACAAATTCAAAATGATATTGACTCTCAGAGAAATAGGTTCTCCCCTTTTGCTGCCATTTTCAGAATTGATGGGCCTTCTCATCATTCTGAGATTGAACTGTGGTTCCTACCTCATCTGATACCTTTGCAAGTCAATGATGAATCATCCCTGTGCTTTGGAACAAACATCTGGGTATCCTTGGGAGTTGTGAAAGATGGCTGGTTGTTTTGTGCAAAGGGTGAAGAGTTTCATCATTCTGCCTTTTCCATCTTCTAGAATTATATTGACTCAGGAAAGGAGCAAATATTGAAAGTCTATTACTTACCAGGAGTTCCAGAAGTCTTTCAGAGAACCTTCCAAATACAGGTGGCTCACCTGGAACCAGATAGTATCACTCTGAAAGGACAGGGAATTTTCCCTAGGATTTGCTTGGATCTGCCCAGGAATATTCGCGGTAAGAGTACTTGTCTTCCCATGAAACTAAGATAGCTGAAAAATATAAGTTAATTCCTTCATGAATATTCACCAGCAGTGTTCATGAAACATTATTTTTTGTTTTGGGTTTTAAACAACAATCTTTTAATTAATCTATCTGAATTCTCTATCTAGTATGAAAATGCCAGGTTTTCATAATAAATATCCTTTTCATACTAGAATCACAAATATTGGCTAAGAGGGTTAATTTTAAATATTGTTTTCCCTTCCCAAGAATATTTCATTTTTTTTCTTAAAATCATGCTCTTTGCCAATATATCTGCAGGGGCATGAAAAATATCAGCTATCCATTTTTGTCTCAACCACATATAAACAAGAAGTCAAAATTTGATAAGCACGAGCTTATTCGAAAGCAATGACTTTCAACACTGAACTTGTTTTTTAAAAGGAGTCTTGCTAGTTAATTCTTGTGTGCAAGAATTAATGTGCATGAAAACATTTGTACTATAACAACAAAGAAAAATGCATTTGCAGTTGTCAGGCTTAAAGATCAGTGTCTTGTATTTAAATAAGTAAGCTCAATATCAAAACACAAGATATAAATAGCAACCTTCCAACCAAACTAACATGGCAGTCTTTTCATTTTGAATGATAATTTTATTTCATTATTTAATATTTTTATTATTTAGATAGTCTGGCTTTCAGTCAATACATGATTTTAAGGCAACTTCCAAGAATTAAAAATGCAAAATATAGAACATAAAAAAATTGTGGTTAAAAATTAAAAGTGAAAATTAAAATCAGCATCAATAAATAATTAACCATTAAAAAGCTTGTGAAAAGAGGTGTTTTTTTCTATGTTCCCACTATATTGAAAAATAAGGGGATGAAGAGCCCACTTTCTTGAGGAAAGCATTCTAAAGCATGAGAGCTCAATATCCTCAGGATACAACCACGGACTGCTCAACTATCCAAATGGAAAGCAGCAAAGGAGCCAAATTAGTCCATTGATGTTATTAAATGCACCCTGAAAGCTGGAGTCTAGACTATGGAAGCCACTGAAAAGAGCATAGCCTCTTTCAAGTGCATTTGCTCTCAGTTCAGAATGACTGGCTTTCCTGCTTTACATAGGAAATGAACGGCACAGCATCATCTTCAAAGAAGTGAAGCAGCGACTAGAACAGGAAACACAGAAAGAATTCACTAGTAATTCTGAAGCACTGACGACTGAACCACCCATGGAAGAATCCTTCACCACGGTAAGATGAACAGCTCTTCCATCTGACTATCAGCTGAGCTGGGTGGAGGCAGTAAGGTAGAATTAATCCCCTGAGGAGCAACCACACTCCTATATGACACAACCATCTCAGGAAGTGGCATCAAAGGCCAATGTTTGGGTGGGTGGGTGGGTGGGGCTACATCCTGTTCTGTGTGAGGTCAGGATGCCAGAGTAGAAGTCCAATACTGCCATGGACATGCTAGAGTTGACTCTTCCTGATGTCTTTAGCTTGACACACAACTGCAGATGGAGTTGGAAAGGCTGCTTGTTCAAGAGCACGCTCTGGAGCAGCAGAAGCTTCTGGCCTCTGTTTCAGTGGATGACCCTGCTGCCTGTCAGCGAGCTCGCCGGAAACTGGTCAAGTTAGTGCATATAGCTTCTTTTTGGTCCAAGAGAATAGGCTTCCAGGAGTTTTCCCAGGAAATCATCAACAAAATGCATGCTCCCAAACCTGTTCACCTGGTCTTTGGGACCTCTCTTTAGCAGGGAGACACACTGTCTAGCCTGAGAGGCTAGCTGTGGTTTTCTCTTCTCTAGGCTGGGTAGATGCTTGTGAAAGGATTTCTGTGCATGAAGATACAAAGAAAGGAATCGAATGATGAATAGTTAAGGAAATAGGTCTCATGGCTGCCATTCCCCCAGGCCAAGCTTTGAAAAGCTGGCAACCTGACGTTAGCAACGGAGATGGCAGCAACAGGAAAGGAAGAGGATTGGAATGCAGGGAGGAGATGGGGGTGGGGCAGAGGGAAACATAAGCATGCTGGCCAAGGAATGAGGAACACCTACTAGCCAAGGTCACCTAACAGAGCCTGCGAAACCAAAGGCCTGTTGCCCAAACAATATACCAGCATTTAATTGGATGTTTGCTGATAACTGGAGCGGGGGTGGTGGTGGTCAGGAAAAAGAGAATGTTAATTGCATTGTCTGTGCGAAAAAAGCCAGATTAAGCTCTTGTCACGTATACACTTGACAAAACAATGGTCCAGGAGTCTTTCTTTGCTGGGTGAATGAGTGGGATAGTTGACACTAGGTATGTCTAGCTTAACAAAAAGTGACAGGGTAGCTGTCTTCCAGTACCTGAGCAACTGTCACAGTCAACCTATTCCACAAAGCACCTAAGGGCAGCATAAGGAGCAACCAGCTCTTCAGCAGGCGATCCAATTTCAAACTAGGAAGAAATTTCTTGACAGAAGATTTAATGAATGGAACAGCTCCACGATTTGTGGGTGCTCCATCCCTAGAGGTTTTCAAGGAAAGATTGGACAACCATTTGTCTGGGGTGGTATAAGGATTGCTGCCATGGGCATTGGACTAGAAGTCCTCCAAGGTCTCTTCCGGCCCTCTGAGTCTAGGACTCTATGGCTTGCTGCTTAACTTCCTTTCTCTCCTTCATAAGCACAGCCAGTCATGCCAGTCTTTAGTGTAGTTGAAATGAATGAACTGGCGAAATTTCAGATTTTGTGGAAAATATTACTCATCCTATTTATGTTAACATCATCATCATGCTTGTTTTTAGAGCCCAGCTACCTGAGTATATCTTAGATTTTGGCTATATAATCATGGGCACCATCAGAACTCACATCATCAAGATCACAAACACTGGCCACTTCCCTGTCTCCTTCCATGCAGATCGACGGGACCTACGGGATACAGGTACAAGAATGGCATCATTCCATTTTTTTCCTAGCCCATGTTGAAACAGTAAGCAATGGTTTAAGGCCCAGATAATTAAAATGGAACAAAATACATTGAAACTTCCCATGTTTACTGAACAAGTGTAGTTTTTTTAATATGTCCAACTGTCCACTGCTGGTCATCTCCTATGCCATGGAGATTGCAGTGAGGGAGGAAGGATCTCTCAGGAACTCTTCCTAGCCTTGCTCACTTTTATCTGTGTTTGCAACATGAGTCAACTTACTGCTGCCCTTTTACCCCAGACCAGAAGAGGCTTCTGTTACCGTGACAAAAAATAATGCCAGGTCTAACTTGCTGATTAGCACCAATAAGAAACAAATGAACAATTGGTAAGCCCTGGTTCAGCCTGTTCAATATACACATATGTACATACATATATATGTAGATGTGCACACCAGACAGTCACTATCACTTACAAATCGTAATGACTATGTTCACATGTCACATTAAGCCAAAATCAAGCCAAAGCTCTGTCCATTTATTTTATTATTTATTTATTTTTGTCAATTGCTTACAAGATGATAGGTATAAGTAGAAACATAGTTATGAATACATGGATAAAAATAAAAAAAATAAAAGAAACAATAGGACAGGGATGGTAGGCACGTTGGTGCGCTTATGCATGCCCCCTACAGACCTCTTAGGAAAGGGGTGAAGTCAACAGTAGACAGTCTAAGGTTAAAGTTTTTGGGGTTTGGGGAAAAAACCACAGAGTTAGGTAGAGTATTCTAGACATTGACCACTCTGTTGCTGAAGTTGTATTTCCTACAATCAAGTTTGGTGCGATTAACCTTGAGTTTGTATCTATTGTTTGCTCTTGTGTTGTTATGGTTGAAGCTGAAGTATTCATTGACAGGTAGGACATTACAATGTATGATTTTATATACCATACTTAGATTGGACCGAAGGCGGTGTAATTCTAGGTTTTCTAGGTCTAGAGTTTCAAGTCTGGTGGCATAAGGTATTCTACAAAGAGTAGAGGAGTGGAGAACTCTTCTTGTGAAATATTTCTGGATTTTCTCAACTTTCTCAAGACTGAGCTGTATTCAAGTATTGGTTTAGCAAATGTTTTGTATGCTCTAGTTATTAGTGTAATATTACCAGAGAAAAAGCTATGTAAGTTTAGGTTAACAACTCTTAATGCCTTTTTGGCTATGTAGTTACAGTGGGCTTCAGCACTTAGGTCATTAGAGATGCGTACTCCAAGGTCCTTGACAAAGTTTGGATCATCAACAAGGACTTGACTATTCAGCCTGTATTTTATTTTCTGATTTTTTTTGCCAATATGTAGGACAGAGCATTTATTTGTTGAGATTTGAAATTGCCATTTGTTTGATAATTTTGATACATAGTCAAGGTCTTTTTGAAGGGTAGTAGTATTGTCTGTGGTGTTGAATAGCTTTACATCATCACTGAAGAGAATGCAGTTGCTGTTGATATGATCACAGAGGTCATTTATGTAGAGTATGAAAAGAGTTGGTCCTAGAACACTGGCTTGGGGGACACTACTGTTGACAGGTACAAAATTTGATAGGACGCTCCCAATTTTGACCATTTGTTGTCTGTTTGACAGGAATGCTTCTATCCAGTAATGCAGTTGTCCGGAGATACCATAAGATTTTAGTTTTAGGAGCAGTTTGTCGTGTACCACTGAATCAAAGGGTTTACAGTAGTCTATGTAGATTGCGTCTATTGCTTTGCCCTGATCGAGCTGTGTAGTCCATATGTTTTTGCAGTGTAAGAGTTGCAGATTACATGATAGTTTTTTTCCTGAAACCAAATTGTTTTTTAGAGAGTAGGTTGTTTCTAAGTGGAGGATGATGGATTGGTTAATAATTGATTCCATGACTTTACAGGTGACGCAGCGTAAAGAGATTGGTCTATAATTTTCAACTAGGCTGGGGTCTCCCTTTTTGAAGATGGGGATGACCATGGCTTGTGACCATAGTTTTGGCAAGGAGCTGGTCCTGAAAGATTTTTCAGATTATGCTTAGAGGTTCTGCTATGGCAGTGGGTAGCTTTTTGAAGAAGTAGGCACATATTCCGTCCGGTCCAATAGATAGAGATGGTGCAATAGATTTAGATTGTGTAGTGCTTTTTCAACATTGTCTTCTGTAAAATCAATATGTATTAGATCATTGTAGTTTTCTGTGGTTCAACTAGGAAATACTGGGCATGATCCATTACTGTTTACAAATACTGAGCCAAAGAATGTGTTAAAGAGGTTGGCTTTAATAGTGTCGTCGTTGCAGTCTTTACCATTAGGTCCTTTCAGGGGTGGGATGGACCTTGAGTCTTTTAGTTTGTTGTTTACAAAATTGTAGAAAGCGCGGGTGGAATTGGTGCATAGAAGGTTTTCTTCTTTAATGTGATAATTGGTGCATTCAGTTTTTATCTGGTGGCATAAATTTTTGTATCGGCTTTTGAAGTTGGCAATGTGACTGGATTTGTTTTTCCACCCAAGTGATTTCTTTTTGGATTGAAGCTTCCTTATTGTTATGGGTAATTTGTTTTTTCTGGTTTTGGAAGTTGTTAATGGTACATATAGTTTGATGACTCTTTTGACTTCAAGTAAAAATATGTTGTGATGGTCTTCTACAGTATTGGATCCAGAGAATAGAAATTGCCAATCAAGGGATGAGAGATCGTTGTTTATAAGATCCTAGTTGCCTTTTTTGAAGTTATAATTTGGGATTCCATCGTTGTGATGATTTTTGTGTGGACGTATGTTGAGACAAAAGTGTACCATGTTGTAGTCACTGTTGGAAAAGGGTTCTTTAATTTGCATTCCGTAAATTGAATTCAAACTATTGCAGAAGATGAGATCGAGGCAGTTGTTAAATCTAGTGTTGTTGGTTACTAGTTGTTCTGGTCCCAGATTTGTTACTGCATTGTAGAAGGTTGCAGGTGTGGGTTCAGTTGTACATTCGTTAAGGGTCCAGTTAATATGAGGTAGATTGAAGTCACCAAGAAAGATAAAAGCGTGTGGGCAGTGTATTTAGCTTGTTTGCATGTTCGATGTCATAATCGGGCTCTGTAACTAGTAAGAACCGAAGTGTGATATTTAAGGACAGTTCACAGACGATGGTCTCAGGAATAGCAAGCTCCTGGGTAACTTGGATTTATTTTTAGATGTAGGGACTTTTTAAATGTAGCATGTAGAGCTTGGCTATCTGTTTTTCAACATCTATTCTTCTGCAGTTGTTAGTGGGGATCCAGCACCTCTGTACTGGAATGTCTTGGAAATGCAATATATATGGCGTTCAAGAGGGATTTATTTTTATAAGTAATGAGAGCTGTTTCTATTGCTGTTATCCTGAGTCAGGTTTCAACACTGAACTGGATCGGGTGAAGAATCTGCCTTTCTGTGAAACAGAGACGTTTGAAATATGGTTTGACCCCCAGAGTGCTGGCTGTGCCCTTGGAGAGATAGAAGTGCTGCTACCAATCAAGGTGCTTTGAAGGTTTTTTTATACACACACATATGTGCAGAGGCATACACAACTGCACAAACTCACATACAGAGTTATCTTCCCTAAAAGGGGGAAAATGGACAAAAATTGTCCAGACTAGCTGGGTCAGACTACGATGCATTAAGGAAGGGGCTCACCACTTCTTTGAATGCAGTTGGACCACCCTCTCTTTCAAGGAGGGGTTAGCCTTTGCCTAAACCAATCACACCCTCCCAGGTGGCCATAATCAGCCAGGAGGGACCTGGATTTGACACAGAAGTGGCCAGACTGACCTCTGAGAAAAGCCGGTCCACTTGCTCAGACTCCACAGAATCCAATTCCCTCACTGCCCCTCCCCCCACCCCCAATCACCCACTTCAAGGCCAGACTCTAACATAGAGTCTATTTGAATCATTGGAATCATGCAATCCTAGCAGATTCCTCCCAGCATCTTTGCAAGCGAACTTCAGAGCTATTCTCCCCAGGAGGGCCTCAGTCACAGTGGATGCAATAAAATTGAAGAAATATTTGTGCTTCACTACCCTTAGTTCCATGGGGTCCTTACTGCTAGTGGCCTCAGCCTGTGTATAGTCAGACTTGCTCCTGGTGATTCACCAACTGTGCTCTAGGCGTCTCTTCTCCATCTCCCTCGGCTCCTCCAAAAACCAGGGGAATTCTGGGATGCAGGAGTGAGATGAAGGCCATTTAGGCATGATCTAATGTAATCCAGAACCCAGGTGCCTTCCCATTCTAGGTAGCCACCAGAGCTTTGGTCAAATCCTGCAACAGATCCTCAAATGATCCCAAGCTCCCTCTGAACCCTGCTGGGTACATTAGCTATCTGGGACAGGTCAATTTAGTAGGTCTGGCCTTCGTGATGGGGGAGGTGATGTAGAGAACTGCAGGGTTACTGTTTATACTTCAGTCATCTACCTTGTAGGGTTTTTGATAGTGCAATTGTAATTTGCAGGATTAGGACGCCCTGAGTTACATGAGTTACAGGAAAGGAAAAGACAGGGGATATGACGTGAGAGCTGGGCAAGTAGATTTGAACAGCTTATCTGATGAACAGTTTAGTTAGCCTGCCTGTAGAACCAACAGCTTATCCTAACAACTACAAGAGCAGAATGACTGTACCTCTATCTAGTGGAGTTTGCTTGGATATGTGAACCAGACCACCCTTGCTTGGTGGGAAGGAACTTAAAGGCTAAAGGAAAGATCCTCTGCCCTGGGAGTCCCACCTGCTTACTACAAGATGGAGTGGAGCAGTGGTTGAGATGGCTCCTCCAGACTGTGATGGCCTGCAGGTAATGGGGGCTGTCCTTCAGAGCCTGAATTGCCTGGATTGTTCTCATTTCCTTTTTCCAGTTGTACTCTCTAATCAGGATAAAGGGCCCAGGGAAGGTGGTGTCCATGTGCCTTGCAGCATTTGACCTATGGTTATGCCAGAAGTTCTGAGGGTGAGGATAGATGGGTCTGGGGGAGAATGGAAGACATATACCATGCATTAAGCTCAGGAGGGTTTGATACGATTTGCTGCAGGTTATGGCTGGTCCCACGTTCCACATCTCTCTTCGGGCCACCGTGATCATGCCATCTCTCTGCATGTCCAGTGACAATCTGGAATTCTCTGCTGTCCAGTGTGGACAGTGCCAGGTGGAGACCATCCAGCTTCACAATCAGCTGCAGGTCGTATGCGAATGGTTTGCCACAAGCAATGAACAAATGAAAAAGGTAACATAACACTGAAACAGATCTCTCTTTGCTCTTCTCTGCATCTTGAAAGGCAGCTTGATCTGTAGGAATTTGGAGTGGGATGGAAATTAAGATACAGTTTTGGTTCTTGGGCTGAGCCCTTTTGATCTGTGTAACATTCAGGAAAATTGTAGAAGTGAAAAACAAGATTTTGTTTTCATATAAATTTAATAAAATAAATTGCAAAAGATTTGCCACAGACGCTTGATTACACAACTCTTGATTCTGTTTTGATCCATGCAAATCCTTTACAATGCAAAATAAAACTCCACACAGCCTAATGATCCTAACCTCTATTTGATAAGTTTTTAATCACATATTATGGATCAGAAATATGCCTGTGCAGTGGAGAAGATGGAGTTGGATTCTTGTTTCTCTTGAAACCTCCATTAGCCTCACTTGCTTGCAAAAGAAAAACCTTTCATCCTTGTTCATATGAATGGAAAACTCACCTTACTTCCAGGGACATCATAAAGGTGTTTCTAGAAACTCAGTCAAAAGTTTGGTGTGGGCTGAGGCAATAATTCTCATCCTCCAGGATGTGCTGTCCTTCAGAAGGATTCTTCAGAATAGCATAGAGGCAAGCTTTGCTCATGACTTCATTGTTTGTTGTAAGCTCAGGTGGATAAGCACATGCCGATAACCTTGCGCCGGAAGATGCGTGAACCCAAGGTGAAGCCCCATGTCTTTGAGATGATTCCCCCGTATGGGATCCTGGCTCCCGGAGAGCGGCTCAATGTGCAGGTCAAGTTTGCCCCAAGAGAAGAGGTATGAAATGACAAAGCTGTTTGGAGCACAAGAAGTATCTGAAGAGCAGAGATGCATTGATGTCAGGAGAGGTGAAGAAAGACAGGGCTTCATTGGACAATTCAATTCCTCATGCAAAGTGGATTTATTAAGGAGGCATTATGCCTGGATGTTTCCTCACCTTCCCTGTCAGGATTATGTCCATTCCTGCTCTTAAATTGGCTTTCTATGGAAGGGCAGCTGGGCTCCCCGTTCTGAGCTCAGGCACTATGAAGGGAACGATACCTCAAAGTGACTGACCAGACACTGATTACATTCCAATAGTGCAGATAGACAGCTAATCTTTGGGATTAACCCTTTGCATTTCTGTCCAGCAGGACAGAACCCAAATCTCTCTTTCTTTCCAGCTGTTCTGAGTTGAACAAATACTACCAGCTGAAGCTGTGAGACTTCTGGGTTTAGATGATTTGGGTTGCCTTTTTACCTGTTCTTATTTGTAATAAAATATTATTTTTTATATCTTAGAAATTGTACCACAATGTCCTGATCTTGAGCATTTCGCAAAGCACTCAGCAACTACTGCTGAATGTTTCTGGGCAAGGTCTGGAGCCACGTCTTGAATTCAGCCCCTCCCTCCTGGAACTGGGGCCTCTCCTTCCCTATGGCATTGGGGATGAAGCTGAAGTGGTCGTGAAGAACCCCTGCAGCTTCCCTATTGAGTTCTACTCCTTAGAATTTGACCAGCAATATCTTCTAGAAGAGCGGGTGAGCTATCTGTGCCAATTAAGAATAACTCATAGTATTTATTGAATAAATAATCCTCCTCCAAGAAGATATTCTGAGATCAGCAATTAAAATGTCCTTTGGATGCAGAAATGTGTCACAATGTCTGTAGACCTTAGAATAAGTTGTCCTTAAATCAAGGACCACGCTTGAAATGGTTGGGGGGGGGTCACTCTCCCAAAAGTAAAAGGCATCAGAGGATTTAAATTTAATTAAACTGATTATACACCATGGACTTAACAGTATTGCTATTGTACCAGCTTCCCTGCTCTTAGCAACCTCCTTGCCTGAGTTTGTTGACTCCATGTTTGTTGGCAATGGAGTTCCCCAGGCTTATAGTCTTGAGGACTTCAGCTTGCCTTCTCTGGGACAGAGTCTGAGATAGTTCAGAATTCACCATAATGGCCTGTTCCCAGTTATCCAGAACCAAATGCATAATAGTGGTCATACATCTGACTGTCAGAGCTATGACAGGGTGTTCTGCATTTTGGAGAGATATTGCTTTCTCCCTGTCTTGGTCAGATCACTCCCTGCTAAGCCTCTAGTTCTCTATCATCTCCTGCCTCGGCAGGGGGGCTTGCCTTATTAGACTGGCTAACTTCAGTGGATTGATTGACCCAACTGGACTCCAGAAGGAGCTTGGCTGGTTCTGGAAGGTCTACAGTCCATTCAAAGCCTTGGTGGCCGCTTATTGCAGCCACCCTGCAGTTTCAGGTGACCTGATCTCTCCTTGGAGGGCTTAATGGTGGGATTCACTTACAAGGTTGCTGTGAGGAGTGTATGGTGTATCTTGTGGATATAGTTACTTGATTATAGTTGCATCCAGTTTTGGTCACCACACTATAAAAAAGATGTTGAGACTCTAGAAAAAGTGCAGAGAAAGAGCAACCAGGATGATTAGGGGACTGGAGGCTAAAACATATGAAGAATAGTTACAGGAACTAGGTATGTTCCTGTAACTAGTGAAGAGAAGGACCAGGGGAGACAGGATAGCAATATTCCAATATTTGAGGGGCTGCTTCAGAGAGGAAGGGGTCAAGCTATTTTCCAAGGCATCTGAAGGCCAGACAAGGAATAATGGATAGAAACTGATCGAGGAAAGGTTCATCCCAGAAATTAGGAGGAATTTTCTGACACTGAGCACAATCAACCAATGGAACAGAAGTTGCCTTCAGGAGTTGTGGGAGGGGATACATGATTGGCTTTGAGTGATGGTTCATTCTTCCTTGAGGGAGGAGTTGGTTCCAATAGCTTACAGAGATGCTGCCACATCCTCTCCTCAAGAGACTATCGCTCAACCCAACTGTCTGGATAGTTTTCATCCAGTCACAAACATCCCTTTTATAGGGAAGGCTGTGGGAAAAATGATCACATGGCAGCTTCAGAGGATCTTGGATGAAGTGGATTGTCTGAACTGCTTTTAGGCAGGATTGAAATCAGGTTATGGTGAGGCTAAAAAAGTATTCATTGTGCTCTTGGATGACAGGAGGGAGATGAGGACAGTATTACCACTCTTGTTTTTTTGAACTCCCAATGGCCTTCAGTATTGTTGATCATGGTATCCTTCTGGACTAGCTTCAGGGGCACTGTGTTGTGCTGGTTCTCCTCCTTCCTTGGGGTCTGTTTCAGTTGGTATTGATGGAGGGAAGCCCACCACTCCTACTTTGAGCTTGGTCCTCTCTCCCTTCCTATTGAATATCTACATGAGGATGCTGGGTGAGGTGAGGAATCATCAGTATGATGATATACCTAGTTTTACATCTCCATGCTGGGTCACCTGAGGGATGCTGTGGATGTCCTGTCCTAGTGCCATAGAGACAGTCGTGGCCTGGATGGGATGTAAAGGGCTCTATCTCCGTCCAAACTAGACTGAATGAATTTGGGTGCTTGTGCCTTCTAGGGACAAAGCATAAATGTGCACATTCCTTGATTGATGAAACCCATGCCCAACCTACTGAATGAACTTTGGTTTCCAGCCAAAGATGGAAGATCCCCAGAACCAGGAAACTTCTTGGTTTTGCTTAGTTTGAACCGAAACCTGTTGATCCTCATCCAGGTCCCTACAGCCTCCAGAACAGGTGGATAACAAAACCAAGACAAATCCAAGTCATCAAGAATGCTCAGGAGGAAAAGTAAAGGGGACAAATCAAAATACAAGTTCACAAAGATTACAAAATATATTTTGCTGCAACTTCTATTTTTTTCCATTCATCTTAAGAACTAGACAGGTAGAAACAAGTGGGAGCAGAAGGTCCCTTTAGCTAGGTGAAAAAAGCGATAGGTGACATCTAGGATTGTAGGAATTGTCCTTCTAAAAAGAAATGCGAGTTTCTAAGACTTTCTAAGATAAGAAAAAAATCTAGGTGGATGGGGCATTTCAGAATAAACCCTCACCTGGAATCTGTCTGAGAGTGCCATGCATGAGTGCCAGAAAGTCTTCACTGTTTGCCCTGCCTTGACTGCAGATTTTGCGGATGCTGAAGGGCTACGATAACCACCGTATCCTTCTGCTGCCTCCTCGCATGCCAGGAGAGAAGCTGCCTATCGAAGTGCTGGAATATTTTGAGGAACAAAAGAAGATTCAAGGCGACCAGGAAGGATTGAATCTGGATAATGGTGAGGGAGGGCCCCGTGGCACTGCAGCCAGCCAGGAGTAGCGTGTTTCTGCTCTGTCCTTTTCTGCCCATTGAAAAGAGCAAACTCCCTTCATCTTTTATTAAAGAAACACTCTGGGGCTCTAATTTTCTGCCTCTGAGGAGAAGTCTAGTGATGGTCTTTGTTAATGTCAGGAAAAAAGATAAAGAGGCAGAAATGATGTGCTTCACATAAATTCATTTCATTTAGCCATTGGGACAGAATAACTCCTGATGTGTCACAAATGAAAGGTTGCTGCTTAATTGATTTTCTTCTTTTTGAATATGGAATAAAACTTCTGACTCCTTCCTGGAGGAGCAATGTAGGTGTAAGATAAAGGGGAAAGTGCCAGTTATATCCAACTCTAAGGCCCAATGTTCGTCTCCGTTTCTTCCCCGAGGGAGTCAGCACTGACCCTTTCTGTGGGCATGTTGCTGGCATGACTATATGCCAGAGCACACAGAAGGCTGTTATCTTCCAAAATGATACCTATTAATTTGCTGACATTTGCACGTTTTCAAACTGCTAGGTAGGCAGGAATTGGGGCAGGTAACAGGAGCTAATTCAGATCTTGAACCCCAGGATTTCTGTTTTCCAGATGACAAGCTCAGCATCTTTAACCACTGAGCCATTGTACCCCCTCATGATTTAAGTATATCTTCACATTAGTCATATGAATGTGATAAACAAATGTAGAAGTAGAAACAAATCCTTTGAGTAGAAGTCGTTGGGCCCTTTGGCTAGTATGGTCCTTGAAGTATGTTCCATTCAAATGATACCATTTAAGTGACTATGCTGGCTAACTCCAGTTTCCCTTTGGCAACCAGGAGCAATGGCTGCTTGAGGAGAGGCCAATCGGAGGATTGGTGCTCTGAGCTTGGCTAATTCCAGCCACAATACTAACAAAACAAGCCAGCTAAAGGTAGAAGCTGGGTGCACTGCCTGCAGTCAAGGAGGGGTTGCCCTACCCATCATCTTGCATGGAAATCACATGCTTCTTGTTTGGGAAACACGTGGAAAGCCCCACACACAAAGTGAAGTGAAGCCAGGGAGGCCCAATCAGCCTGAAGCTGGGACCTTCCTTTTCCAACACACAGAGCCAGGTTGGAGCAAGGGCTGAACTGGGAGATTGAGTTCTGCCCTTTCTTAGGTACGGCAGCCAGTCCAGACCATCTCACAGGAGGGCTGTGGTGAGAAAACAAGAGGCCAGAGCATTGGACATGTAGACTATCTTGGCCCAAAATAAAGGTGGGGTAAACATCAAATCCATAAAGTAAGATAGACAGAAGAAATTAGATCATTTGGCTGAAATATTTCTTTGCTTTGATTGTTAAGAATTGCTGCCTATTTCTGGCTAGGCCTTATCTTATAGTCTCGTGGTGGAACAATTAATTGCACATTAAATTTCTACTCCAAAATAGCATTGCCTATCAAACAAAAATATAATTTTACCATTGATTTAATGGAGACACATATAAATGCAGCTATGGTGTCTGTTCTGGGCCTGTGTCCCGGATAGACACAGAACCACAAAGCAGTCCTTGAAGAGGCAGGGAGCAGTCAGGTCAGAGGCCTCTCCCATGGCAGAAATAGTGGCTGCAGTTACTCTCAACACTCTGCTGTGTTTTGCTCTAGAATGCTCCATTGGAAGCATTCTTACGGGTCTGCTGTGCATGGCATCCTTCCTCTTTTTGTTCCCGGACAGAGGAAGAAGAAAGCACTCATTTTTCTGAACATGGAATGAAGCCTCACCCTTCAGTTATGCAAGCAGCAGTCACAGGGGGCTCTGCTCTTCCTTCTCTGTCACTTATGGACAATAACCGGACACTCCAGGCAGAATCCAAAATTGATCAGGAGGAAGAAGAGGAAGAAGAGGGAACTGAAAAAGGTCAAATGCAAGGTGAGTGCATTCTTACAGTAGCTTTTAGATACAAGTGCAGTAAAAAGGATGCCAATAGGAATGACCATAATTGCTTGCTTCTCTATTTTGCTGGTAGCTTCATGAGTGCTAAAAACAATTGTTATAAATTATTTAAGATAAGTGAAGAACTTGACAGGAATTGCTTTATGCAAAGCTATACTGCTTCAGGCTTTCATCACACACATTCAAACACGGGTGCTTTGGAGACTGTCAGTTTTACTTCAAGGCTGAAGAGTTAACAATGAACAACAGGATGTAAGCAAATCACAGCTGGCTTTGAAATATGAGTGTGCAGAAGAATTGTCCAAAGCTAATTCAGGGTTCTAAGAGCATGGTCAGCCACTGCAGAGGTTCAAGTTTTGTTTTTGTTTTTTTCAAACAGGAACATCACACAAAAGCTGGAATCCAATGATTCCAGCAAAAGAGAGTGTGGCCAGAGCTGCTGCTTAAATAAGGCTGCAGCCAAACATTCATGATCAAACGGTTTACTCCCTTCCTTGACAAGGGACCTAACAGACCTTTGCTGCTCTGCTCTCTTTTCTACCTGTGCAGGGCCCAGGAGGCTTTACTATGTGCTCACCTGGACTTCTCCACATACTCAGGTGGTGCCTGAGTTTGAATAGCCTCAGTTGATTCCTGATTGTATCTTTTTCCAGGCTGGCCTTTCACAGGCTCAGCTGAAGCAGCTTCTTTCCAGATCAGATTCAGAATCAGCTCTGAGCCTGGCCCACAGCAAAGGCTACCTGTCAAGCAAGGGGTGCCTGCTGTGGAAGGTTTTTTCTTTACTCATTTGGGGGCTGCATAACCATCCCCTCCTGGAGGCCTTCATTGAATTGAATGGGTGCAAATGAAGAATACTGAACCCGGGCAAAAAAATATACCTGGAGTCAATATCTGCGTTCTATTTTTTATTAATCTGATTCAATTTATTTATGAATGATGGATTAGCCTTTCTAAAAGTAGTTTGATAATGGATGACTACATTTTTTATTTTAATTTTATCTATCACATGGCTAGTCAAGGGAAGAGAAGGACCAGGGGAGACATGATAGTAGTCTTCCAATATCTGAGGGGCTGCCATAGAGAGGAGGAGGGGGTCAAGCTATTTTCCAAGGCACCCAAAGGCCAGACAAGGAATAATGGATGGAAACTGATCAGGATTCAACCTGAAAATAAGGAGGAATTTTCTGACAGTGAGAACAGTCAACCAATGGAACAGAAGTTGCCTTTGAAAGTTGTGGGAGCTTCATCAATGGAAGCTTTCAAGAAGAGTCTGAACTGCCATCTATCAGAAATGATGTAGGGTCTCCTACTTGGGAGCGGGGTTGGACTAGATGACCTACAAGGTCCCTTTCATCTCTGTTAATCTGTTACATCACATTTACTTGCCACTCATCTCCTAGTTCAGGTGACATATTGCTCGTATTGCTTTATTTGAATTCTGATTTGTCATAGAATGTAAAGATTGGAAGGGATCTTAGAGGTAATCGTGTCCAACCTTCTACAGTACTCATTGTAGAAATCCACCATAGCCCATCCCCAAACAAATTCCTTCCAGCCTCTGCTTAAGCACTCCAAGGTAAAGCAAATACATCACCTCTCTTGAGGTACGTTGTTTCATTATGGAACAGCTCCTATTAGAGACATTTTCCTGATCATCAACCCATATCTGCTTCCTCGTGATTTACATCCATTGTTTCTTCTTTAATCTAGTGGAACAATTCTGCTCTGTCTTCATGGGGCTGCCCTCTGTATATTTGAAGACTGCTATCTATCTCTTGGAAGACTTCTCCAGGGGAAACATACCCAATGCACACCACTGTTCCTCTTAAGTTTTTCCTTCTTCACCTCTTACTGTTCTGTTCTTCAATTAATGTTCTTTCAAAATGTAGGACCAGCACTGGGTACAATATTTTAGTTGAAACTTCGCTAATGCAGAAAAGGAAGAATTATGACTCCTACTGATTTTGTCATTCTTAACTTTTTGTTCATTTAGAACTGCATTTGCTTTTTATGCAAGTGCATTAGATTGTTGTATTGTGTTTTTAATAGATTAACAGAGTTGGAAGGGACCTTGTAGGTCATCTACTCCAACCCTCAGCCCAAGCAGGAGACCCTATACCATTTCTGACAGATGGCAGTCCATTCTGTTCAGTCAAGATACCTCTTCTTTTTATATATACTGTACAGCTATGTATAATGTGATTCCTCTGATCCTAGATTCATCCATTCGATTTTTCTTACCCAAATATGGAACTTTGTGCTTTTCCTCTTGAAATTCATTGTGCTAGTTCCTCCTCATTGTGTCTTGTTATTCTGGTCATCCCGAGTCTTCCTACTGTCCATTATAGTCATGGCTATTTCCCCAATAGGGCAATTCTATTCTATAATCCTCATGCAAGTTTATGCATACAATATTTATGTTGAGCAGCTCAGGGCTCTACTATTTGCCGCTCAGCAGTTCCTTCCAGCATGACAAAGATTTAGGATGTATATTTACCGATATAAGTTTTTATCCAGATCTGTATCCATCTAATGATAACATAGTTTAGTCCATATTTTGCCATCTTCTCTACTAGAATCTTATGGGAAAATCAGTCCAGACATGCTATATTACATTATTATGATCAACTAAACTATGAAAAATGCAGATCAGATTATCTGTTATCTGATATGATTAATCATTGATAAAGTATGCAGGTTCCTGCCAAATAATGCATTCCTTTTTAAATGTTCACAAATTCATTGCCGTCTACTCTCTTCCAGTATTTTGCCCACTATCAGAATGAATTGCCTGACCTGTAATTACTCAGGCTGCTTCTTTTCCCCTGTGAACAGCACAGAGAAGGAAAAGGCAAGGTAATGGATGAATGTTAGGAGGCAAAGGAAACATTTTTTATTCTGCATCTGTACGTATTATGCAAATAATAAGAATAAATTCTTATTATTTGGGATTGTGTAAATGTAGGACCAGCACCGGGAACAATACTGCAGATTCTGTTAAATGTGGCTTCTCTTTCTTCAGAGATCTCTCCTCTCCTCTCCTAATTTCAAGCTCAAATGATGGATATTCCCCATTTTCCACCTCTGACAGCTGCAAGTAGCCAGATCAAGTCAGCTGGGAATGCAGTTACTTCTTGAGTGGGTGCTGCTGGTTCATCTTGCTGGCCTGCTCAGTGCCTTCTTCATCAAATTGGAAAAGCAGATATTTGTCCTTTAGGGAGGGAGTTTTCATAGAAACCCAGTTCACACCAAAACATTCTCCTCAGAAGTCCCTCAGGAATGTTTGACATGGGTTCTGCTACCTGGTTGACCACAATGCAGTTTTTTTTCCAGCAGGGAGTCAACAAAGCCTCAACAAGCATAAGGAAGCAGTTGGAGAGCTAGACAACAATCCTGTTTCTAAAGCCATTGCTCGCCATCTTGGCATTGATATCACTCCAGAAGGACGCGCTGCCAGAAACCGTAGGGGTATTGCTATTATAATTCATGGAGCTCCCTTTACAGGTAAATGGCTTTTCTTGGAGAACTAGAGGTATGTGTATGGAGAGACATAGCTGTTTGCCCCAAGCAGTGCCCCCTGAAATTAGATTGAGCCATTTCCACAGACTCCTCTGGTTCTTTCAGTCTTTTCTATGGTAGCCAGTTCTTTTATTTAATGTTAAGAATTTGGCTTTGGTTTCCTAAGACTTGAAAATGAATGTCCTGTTCACCTCATATAAAATATTAAATGCATGTGATTTTTAACAAAATTTTGTTATGATATAATGTTTTTCAACTTTAGGAGTGCTGGTCTCCTAACCTCCTAAAGTCTAACTGTCCCTGCACCTATTGAATTAGACACTTTTTGGGTAAATTAATTGACTGATTCAGAACAATGATACAGTGGAGCAAGTCAGCTTTACAGAGTTATTCAACACTCTACCACTATATCTTAACATCAAACTGAAAGATATTCCACACATCTGTGGGACAAACTTTATGTGGCCTTTATGGTATCTTCAGCTCAACACTGAGGCACCTGATGAGGAAAACTGGCTGCCTTATCCTCTCAGACCAATCTGAGTTGCCCGAGGAAATCTAATATTCTCTTCCATGAGGCTTTGATTTGAGCATTATTCATCTTTGACATTAACTGTGTCTTTTGCTGTAAAGAAAGAGTGTCATTTTGGGCTTGATTGTCAGGAACAGTGGTGGGGTTCCTCTGATTGGGGACTTGTGGCTTCTGAGCATAGTGGACCTTGCTGGCTTTTATATTGAATGTAATATAATTTTGATTTATTTTTATTTTATTTATTTATTTATTCAATTTATATGGCCACCTTTATATTCAAGAAATTATGATGAACAACAAAGAAATAAAAGCAGAGAATTTCATCTAAACAAGTAACGAACTAAAACTGCACTGAGGCTCAGAAAAAAACACAAGCCCACTAACATGCACACAGCTCCTAGACTAATATTTTAACCTCCATGCCTGGGGGAAAAACCAGGGTATCACAGGCTTGTGAAAGATCAATAAGAGTGGTGGCTGTTCCATCTGCTGGGACAGGCAGCAGCCACTGGGGAGAGAAGTAATCCATTCCATGCCATGCAGGGCTTTAAAAGGGAAAAACAACACCTTGAGTGGCACACGGAAGCCTACCCCATTTAAATCATCAGTCTCTAGCCATATTTTCAAAGCTTAAAGAAGATTTATTAGGAGTAAACATGCCGGTGTTACCTGGGTGTAGCCGACTCTGAGACACATCATTCATTGTCACCCCTGACCCTGGTTTCCCCCCTCACCCCCCTGGGTGTATCATAATTCTGTTCTCCAATGGGACACACCCATAGCCAAGAGTCATCAATCATGCTCTCCAGTTAGAATTTTGCGCAGAAACTTCTGTCGCCTGGAAACTATCTATGGAATGCGGTTTCGGTTTTGCAAGCTGCTGCACTGCTCCCCCCACTCCCTTTCTGCTGGCAACTTTAAAAGACCAGAGAAATATTTTATGAGTTGACAGCCAATACAGCTGATGTAGGCGTGGTGTTACATGGGCATAATATGGTACAGTACATCCTGGACCAGCTGAAGCTTTCAAATGCTCTTTGAGGGATGCCCCATGTAGAACGTATTGCAATAATTCTAGCAGGAAGTAAATAAGGCACAAATAGTCATGAGTTGTGCCTCCTGATCCAAAAATGTACACAACTGCTACGCATGTATTACAGATGTATTTATGCAAAAGCTCCCCTGGCACAGCTACCACCAGTTCCTATGTGAGTCCACGAGAACCCCCCAATTGTGCCCCAGCTTTGGAATGGAGGAGTATAATCTCATTCAGGGTTACAGTGGGAAACAATTATGTCTTGGGGGGCTCAAAATTTTTTATTCATGGTCAAATCACTTTTGTCTAAGCATTGCCTTCTGTTCCTCAAGGTTCCTCTTACATCCCGTTACACTTTCCCCTCCTTGTGTCTCACTTAAATACTTTTTAATATTTCATACACATAGGGTCTGGTTTTGATTGTCTATGAAAAACTCTTTGGAGATAAAACAGTTGTTTGATCTGAAGTTGCAGAATAATTTAAGTTCTGGACCACAAATCTCCAGCCTAAACAGACAAGGAAGCCCATGCTTAATTTCTCCGAACATTCCCTGTGCAACCTAAAGACCCTTTATACTAGCCATATTCATTATCCTGTCTTCAGTCCTCCTGGAGATAAAATGATACAGCTACACAAGGGGACCTTTGCCCTGTTCACCTGGCCAGGGCTGGAGGTCCCTGCAGCCAGCCAGACCACTAGTTGCATTCACCTGTGGAACCTGACACAAAAATCGGTTTTCCTATTGTCCTAGCTGCATAATAGTTTGACAACAAAAGCTGCCCTTCAAGAGTGACCTCACAAGCAAAAGTGAGACTGCTGAGTATTCCACAATGGAGTAGATCAAAATGGAGTCCTAGAGGTGAAAGCCCCTTTAGTCCCAATTTCCTTCTCTGTGTTGGAATCCCAGTTCTGGGCAGATGATTGTCCACCTCTGGATTGAACATACCTCACCCACCATTCTTCTGATTAATGGATCTACTCTCAAATTTTAGGATTATGATTTTTGTAATATTCAGACAGAATCTAAATCTGCGCGTGAAATTATAAGCTTTCTCTGAAATCCAGTTTGGAAAAAATGCTTAGTTTGCGTAGCCATTTTGAGAGTTCAGAAATGAGACAAGAGTCACAATCCTTAATAATTCCAGAATTCAGAATCCTCAATGAGAGAGCCATCTTCCTGAACAAAAAAGTGTGGACCACTGGTATTTGAGTGCTAGCTGTTACAACATACGTATAGTTGCATAAGGGACTGCAGCAGCCACTATGTAGGACAGACTGGCAGAAACTAGCAGAGCATATTAACAATCAGAAGTCATGATGAAAACTTCTTAACCTCATCACACATGGACAGACTCATCCATAGTCTCAACTGGAAAACTGAGGATCCTAGACTAGAGGTTCTCAACCTGTGCCTATGGACCCCTGCGGGACTTCAATGTCATCACAGGGTGTATATGGAGGCTTGAGGAAATGTTATAATTTAAATCCACAGTTAAATCTTGGAGGTCTGTAGCCATGTTCTGTGGCCACAAAAAGTATTTAAAAGGGGTCCATGTTGAAGAAAAGGTTGAGAACGATTATCCTAAACCAGACTAAATCAAAAAATGCTAGGAAATTCCTGGAAACTTGGCACTCAGACAAATCAGCCATTAACAGGTATGTAGATATAAACAGCATTCACACACCACTCAAAAGACCATGAAAAAGCTAAAAAGAAAACAAAAAGACCAGAATGCCACCCTACCAGCAATCAGCACCCAGATGAACTGGAATTAGCACCAGGATTAAACCATTACTTTTATTTTTATGTTGTGTTTTGCTTTTTTATGTATTGTTACTTTCTAAGATTCATCATTTTAAAATGGGTAACTGTGAATAATTAAAATAAATCAATAACATAGAATCAAGATTTATTTAAATTAGGGTGGCAAGAGAATCCAGGTATATCTGTGTTTGAGAACTTTTATATCTTCCATTTCCCCAGGGAAGACTAGTGCTGCTGTAGTCCTGGCGAAACACTACAGTGCAGCTTGCTTGTCCATTGACTCGGTGGTCCTGGAAGCCATCTCAGATGGCAGTAGTTCAGCAGGGCTTCGTGCACGGGAACTCTGCATCCGAGCTGCTATTGAGCAGGCCCAGCGAGAAAACGACGATGGTGGTAAGCAAGACAATGAGTTCTGGGGAGTCCGGCATGACCGCACGTTTCCAAACAAACCTTGCTTTCCTCCCCTCTAACCTCTGTCTGTGGTTTTGGCTTCTCTCAAGAAGCTTGTCAATTTTCAGAGTCAACTTTTGCTAGATGCTTGCATTCTAGAGATGTGTTTTCTTAAATGTAATCCTTTCCTCCAGTCTGAAATGCACCGACAGTGTAACAATGGACAAGTGCATCAGAATCTATGGGAATTGTAAATCCTGGATGACTTCCGAGGCACATACACTTCTGAGAGCCCAGGATTCTGCCTTTGAGGCAGAGGACAGGGACATATATAGAGAGGCCAGGGCAAACCTTAAAAGAGGCATTAAGATGGCAAAACAACAATACAAATATAAGGTGGAGAAACACCTAGCAGATAACAACCCAAAGGAAGTGTGGCAGGGACTGCAGCACCTAACTAACTATAAGGGCAACACGAGGAACATGGTCAACGCTGATAGAGGAGTTGAACATCTTCGTTCTCTATGAGTGAAAAGACCAGATCCCGTAACCTGTCATGCCCCTGTCGGAATCTGATTCCAAGGGGTTGGCCAAGCAGCTGACAGGGAGTGAGAGTGTGGCTCCGTTGGCTGTGGAAGAAACTGGGGAAGGGCACAGTCTGCCTGGGCAGAGCAGGGTAGAGGTAGAGCAAGGCAGAGGGAATTCAGAGGAAGATCCAGGCCCACCCCCTCTTTATCCTAGGGCATGCAGGGAGGAACAGAGAAGGGAGCAACATGAATTGCGTGGCTTACAGGGGAGGAAAAGGCCCTGATTCCCTTCATTAGCTGCAGCTAGGAACACAGTTTTAAAAAGGGAATTTGCACACAGCAACTTGTTGGAAGCAAATTGTGAGTTATCTTTTATTGTTGAGGCTTATCTGGGTTCCTGGCGTCTTCCCAACTGTGTGTGTTTTGTTGGCCTTTGCAATTCCTTATAGTGCCCTGTCCAGTTAATTGCTGCAGTGTGGTTTGTGTGGATTTTTATTTACAGTTTATATGTACTTTGTTTTCGGACTGAATATCTTCCACATAAAGACTGTTCTTGGGAGATTTTTTTCTTCACCCGAAGGTAACTAGATATTGGGGGCAAAGTTGGAGGTATTAAAGGGACTCTTCTTGCTTATGTGACTGTGTTGCCTTTGTGCCACGTCATCACATAGCCTCTGCCTGCTGGCTTTCTGATTCCCAGCCACTCACTTTATACGAACACCAAGTGAGAGCTGCATTGAAGGTTGCATTGAAGGCTGCAAAGCTGCAGGTCCAAATGTGGTGCTGTGGATAGTGGTAAAGACTAATTAGCTAGATAGTGGTAAAGACTAATTAGTGCCAACTAATTAGCAGGGGTCCTGACAAGGATCTTCAACATCTCCCTGCAAACAACCTGTGTTCCTCATGCTTGAAAGCAGCCACTTTTGTCCCAGTCCAGAAGAAAACAGCAATTAACTGCCTAAACAACTACAGACCTATTGCATTAACATCTGTAGTGATGAAATGCTTCGAAAGACTGGTTCTCCAACACCTTAGGGAATACCTCCCATTGGATTTTGACAAACATCAGTTTGCCTACAGGGGGAACAGGTCGACAGACGATGCTATAGCTACTGCCTTACATTATGTAGCGAGCCATCTGGAGAAACCCAGAAACTGTTCGGCCTTCAATACTATCCTGCTGAGCATCCTTATTGAAAAGCTGAATGACTTAGATTTTCCCCCTTCTATCTGCGACTGGCTCAAAAACTTTCTGAGGGACCGACCACAAACTGTGAGGGCTGGGTCTGTCACATCCACCTCACTGAAGCTTAGCACCGGCTCCCCACAGAGCTGTGTGCTCAGTCCCTACATGTACTCACTATACACACATGATTGTGTATTGTCTGACCCATTCACTGTGACCATTAAGTTTGCAGATGATGCCACCATATTGGGTCCCATTACAGGTGGAGATGAAACAGCGTACAGGGGGGAGGTTCAAAAATTATCCTCATGGTACCTAGAAAACAACCTGCTCCTAAACATCAGCAAGACAAAGGAGATGGTGTTAGACTTCCAGAAGAAGAGAGAGGAACCCGCCCCACTTTACATCAGGGGGGCTGTGTGGAGAGAGTTTCCTCCTTTTAAATTCCTGGGAATCTACCTCAGCAAAGATCTTACCTGGAAAAGGTAAGATCTTTGGGGGGTCATAAATCATTAGTGAAGGACCTTCTTCAAAGCAATGGAGTACATTCCTCCCCCCAAGTCACAAGGCTGATTCAAGTAAGCTATTTGAACAAAATAATTCAAGGAGCAATTTTTTTTGTTTAAAAGCCTAACATTTCTTCATCTCCTCCTCTCTTTACTAAAAAAATAAAAGCATAACACAGCCACAGTGCATGCAACTTAAGTATTTTTTCTAATGAATTTTTCCCTTCCATCAAAATTGGCTGACACTCAACTATTAGCTTGCAGCACCATCTGAAGTAGGCAATAAATTCCTTTGGGCAATCAGTAAACCTCATAGCCATGAGCCTCACCCCCTAAAGAGAGAAATCAGACTCAAGTAAAGCAGCCTATACCCCATCTGGTGGTCAAGAAGAAATTTACAGTGAAGTTAAAGAATTCTTACCATTTTTTCCCTTTTTCAAGAGTGGGCAAGGAAGTCCCCCCCTCTTTTTCTCTTCAGCCCACTGCTACATCTGGGGCTCAAAGAAAAATCTCCCTGAAACCATTGTGGACAATTTAATCAATTTAAGTCAAATGTCCCAAGAATTACTGCAACCTAACATGGGCATAGCAACAGCGTCTTCCTGACCCTCTGCTGCCACCTTGTGAAGCAAGCGACAATAATAGGCATATTTCTGTGTTCAGCCCTGAAGTTTTCAGACTACACCATGCATATTTCTGCGTTCAGCCCTCTAGTCTTCAGACTTCGCGATGCAACCTCTAGTGCCCCTTTGTGTTGCAAGCTCACAACGCACCCTAGAAGTGGCCATATTGTGTGCTGTGCTAGCATCACCCAGACTCTGCAGTGCCACCTACATGCTGAAGTATTAAATCCAGCAGCAATTCTACTTTCTGCTACTTGCTTGCAGTGCCCCCTAGTACAAAAAAGGTAATTGCATGGAAAACCACTACAATTTTCCAAAATTCTCCCTTTGCCAAGCATGGCAACTTCCTCAGCCATGACAGATGTCTCTGATGGGAGAGGGGAGGAGCTGGCGCCGAGACGACACGGCTTGTAATCGAGCTCTACAATTGCAGCCGATATCTTCGCCCCTGGCCGGCCCAAACGGACCTAAACCATCCCGTAGGGACGGTTATTGTGAGGGGCATACCCTGTGGATACGAGGGACACTGCAAAGTCCCTGGATGACCCAGGAGAAGTCCCTTTTGCTGGAGGCGGAGAGGCAGTCCCCAAGATGCTGAAGTCGGGGCAGCTCCGGAAAGGAAGAGGCTGAAAGAGAAAGTGTGTCGGCTGGGTGAGAAACTTTTTTTTTTTTCAATATTTTGAGGCTTGAAAGGACACTTTGATTGCTTGAAGAAATCTGTGTGATATTTGACAAAACTGAATAAGCGGCGTTTTTTTAAGGGAGACGTCAAAGCGAGGCTTTATTTTTATTTTTATTTTTTTTGCTACCGGACTTCATTGTTACTTAGTAGATAACCGGACTGGTTTTTTATATGTATGTATGTATGTATGTATGTATGTATGTATGTGTATATATATATATATATATATATATATATATATATATATATATATATTCTGAGGTTCTCGCGGGTATTTGTATGTGGATCTTTGGTTGTTCGGGTTTTCTCCCGCGTAAGATTCGAAGTATCTAGGCAACGTTTCAATGAAGTCTCATTCATCATCTTCAGGCTTCTGTCTCCGGCTCTCTCTATATTATTCTCCCTTTGGGTTTTTTAACTTTTTTTTTTCTAGGCTAGAGGCTCCCTTTGGTTATTTCTCTCTTTGTATATATATGTATATATTTCTTGTTCTTTTTTTACTTCAATTACGCTTTTCTGAGAGGATGGGGGAAAGTGAGAACTAAGAAACTTTGTAACACTGCCAACTAGAGGCTTGAAAATATCTTACTTGAAGTGGAGAGAACTGTGAAAGACTGCTTCTCAAGGACATTCTAATTTGATAAGATAGAGGGAAGAGCGCAGTAGAATATTATTACAGGTGTTCTTCTGGATTTCTATCAACAATTAAATATCTATGGCTTGGCTTTGAAGCTTGTGGGAAAGGGAAGAGAGTCATAACAAGAGCCTTGGACAACTAAACAGAGTGCAGTGTGTTGTTTCTTTCTTTTTAATCCTTTTTTTAGTCTCGCTAACCCCCCCCCCTAGCATTATTGTAAATTTTTATTTTAGCAATGTCTTTATTTTTACTTTTTATTTTCAAGGGGAAGCCTTAGAATTTTTCATTTTTATTTTTTTTCCTTTTTCATTGGGATTTTTGCTTTTTCTATTTATGCTCTTGGATTATTTTGGCCTCCTTTTTTCTTTTTTTAATTGAGATTTTCTAGCTGGATTAAGGTGTGAAGGACCTGAAGAAATCTTTTTTTTTGCCTTGTTCCTTTTTATTATTATTATTACTGGGTCTTCTTCTTTTTATTTTTATTTTTTATTGTGGACTACTTTATAATTGGATTAGGGTCAGGAAGAACCTGAAGAATCTTTTCTTTTTTCTTCTTCTTTTTTTCTCTCTTTTACTACTGGGCTTTTTACTACTGGGCTTTTCCACTCTGGATTATAATTGGTTACGTTTCTAATTGGATTAAAATTTGAAAGAATTTGAAGATCTTGAATCATTTAAAATGAGCAGGAAATTCATACCTCCGGGTGCTTCTATATCTACTTCTGCCTTCCCACCATCTGGAGGACAACGTTCAATTCAGGTAATGTTAAAGCAAGATAAAGAGCAAGAAAAAGTAACCTTACAGAGGATTATGCAAGGAATTCAAGACCTTAAGATAAAAA